CGAAAAGCGAATATCCGACGCTCTAACTGTGTTAGTGGACACGGATAGTGCACCTAGGGGAGTTGGAAAACCCTCATTTCAAATCAATGGTGCACATGGGCTCCAGTATCCTGAAAGAACAATGGCGTTTGAATCTATCGTTGGACACCGGCTACCATGAGACTTCATCTCCTCACGATGCTCCAATGCCTTTTGGATCAGATCTTTAGATCAAAGGCTCCGAGTATGGCCCCTTTAAGAAAACCACCTGCGTCGGTTTGGGCACTTGGTCAGTATCACAGCCCTCACACAAATCAAATGAGATTTGTGTGGCGCATATATATCTGGTGCCTCTTTTTACCAATATTTATGTGTTCAAATAAATAAATAACATTCGCTTTAGTGAACAACAGAATAAAACAAGTTAAATACGAGAATTGTTATTGGATAAATACATTCCATACATGTACTGACATAAACAAATAATAAGAGAAAAGAGGTAGACAGGAGATGGTTGACTTGCCAACTCTTTTTATTAAAGCATGACTGATTATTTATAGTTAGATGGAATAAAGCAAGCTAAAGACATATGACGAATAAAGTAAGTTATAAACACATGCACTCATACATAGAAATAATTTAAGTTACAGGTGAATAAAGATGGATAGTGGCTAGCAGTGGAATCCAGGACAAGGCACGTTTCGTCCTATTTGGGACTCGTCAACTGGGAAGATACAAGTAAACAATACTATGTGAATTTACTGGTGAATAATTGACAAGATCAAATGTATGTGTGGATAATGTCTCTTAAGGAATTGATAAACTAGTCTGTTCAAAATCTAGAATAAGACGACATATGAGCGTGATATTGTACTAAATGCTATAAGCTGATCAAAAACCGTTTATTGACAGGCCAAAAAGATGATAGCAAGATGGTGAGGAATTTGACGGTGCATGATTCAAAAGCACGAGAAACTGACTATAAGTATTATCTATGTCTTTAAGAAATAAGCCCAAAGTTGAATAGGGGACATCTCTATTTTATTTATCATCAAAGTGAAATGTTGATTTTCAGTTTAGATACTTCATGCATTTACATAAACTTTTCCAGAAGGGGCTTTTGTGGAGATTTCAGTAATTTTATAGTTTAAATCTCCACAAAACCTCCTAATAATTATCATATGCTCATTAGTGACTAGCTCCATGAGGTATTTCCTGAAGTTCTAATGAGAAGCAGTGATCAGTGGAATTCAACCAGGTCTGTTGTGAGATAGTAACTCACTGAGGACAATGATGAACGGTTGCTCAACTTCGTGGATCGGTTGAAATTAAACATTAACACCATCGGATGCCGGCCAGCTTAGTGGTCTATTGGTTAAGCGCTCGCGCGCGAGACCGATAGGTCTTGGGTTGGAATCTCACTCGCGAGGCGAGATCGTGGATGTGTACTTTTGAGGAGTCCCATATTAGAACGAAACGATCATTCAGTGCTTTCAGGTTTTCCATGTTAGTCTAGCTTCAATTGACTCATGATTTCAACTATAAAATAAACTTTTCCATAAACATTCTTATTATCTGTTCACTATTATTATCTCCTTACTCTCTGGTTTACATAATGAGTCACTTAGGTGTGCTGAACTTTAATATATGAAAGTTGTTTTGTGTTTCCTTCAATTCGGTAATGATAACTAACGATTAGGTGGTTAATTTAGTGGTGCAAATTTTATGGACTACATGTTTACCTCAAAACAAAGCTATACAGGTGTTTTTTGACAAAGGCTTGAAAGACAAGGAATCAGTTGCTAAATACCACAGATGCTATCAGCCTGTTTTGAAAGTGTAGTGAACAAAGTGCAGAAGACAAATTTGTTAGTGAATAATAAATTACAAACTTTCTCAGCGTTTTTTAGCGAGTTAGTTTTCTACGGAATGGAGTCGTTAACCTCATGGCCAACCCTCCTCCTTTACCCGGGCTTGGGACCGGCAGTAAGTCTAGAAGAGCTACATGCGGAGTTGTAAAATACAAAAAAATCATATACTAAATATTTCATTTACACATCTCCCAACAATTGCCTCTTACGAACTCGATTGTTATTACAATTACTGTTTGTTTACATTTCTGTACTCTTCAGTTGAATCTTCTCAACCTTTTTCTGTCAAACATCTCAATTCTGATTGATGTTACATACTACTTATGTTGACAGATATAAGTAATATACACCACAAAATCAATATTTCAAGGTAACATAATGTTAACCTTTGTCAATCTAGTTTCAATTAATCTTAACATCTTCGAATCACTGTTCATTGATATTTAAGTGTAAATTTGTTGAAGTGAAAATAAATGATTGACTTTGTGGTAAAGATTACTTTTAAAATTCACAACTAAGCTTACAGGATAATTTTAAAATCATCAAATTATTATGATCAGTTAATAGCAGCCTTTGCATCGACAGGCATCAACATACACAAAGGAAAATTTAAGATTCTCAAATACAACACAGAGAACACTAACTCAGTCACACTTAATGGAGAAACTCTGGAAGAAGTGGAAACATTCAAGTAATTGGGAAACATCATTGATGAACAAGAATGACCTGATGCAGATATAAAGGCGACGATTGGCAAAACAAGGACAGCATTTCTACAATTAAAGAACATATGCAACTCAAAACAACTGTCAACTAATTTCAAAGTGAGAATCTTCTATACGAACGTTAAGACAGTCCTACTGTACGTAGCTGAAACATGAAGAACAACCACAACCATCGTCAAGAAGGTGCAAGTATTTATAAACAGTTGTCTACGCAAAATACTCAACATTCATTGACCAGATACTATCAGCAACAGCGTTTTATGGGAGTAGACAAACCAGCTTTCAACTGAAGAGGAAATTGTAGCTGTAAATAATTCCCCAAAATCAATAGATCTTCAAGTGTTCGACATTGGGTGCTGACCACATTGTTTCTAGTGGACTTGTTTAAGTGAAGGCGCTCGTTCATGCATCCGCAGCAGATAATGTTATGACTCAGCGTGAGAAACAGCTCCTACTGTTGTGAACAGAACACTAGTTGGGGACAATCGAATGTATTTAAGCAAAGATTACAGACTATCTCAATAAATTCTGATTACCAAACAATGAACAGTCAATTTGCAAATTAACAACCAATTGTTTCAATCTTCACTGTTTCTTCTCTAATTCCATTGCTCATGCGTTTTCCAGACGATTGCGCTTAATTCCAGTTCTTTCGTCATCGGTCTTCTGCCAAAATACATTCTATGTCTGACCCACACCATATACTACTTATATGGATATAAGTAGGCCACACCACACTACGTTCACTAGCCAGATTAGAGCAACCGCTTCTCCATATATTGATAACGTATCAAATATATCTTTCCTACCTCTTCTCATCTGACTTCTGGTTTTAATTGATTGGGGGGGGGGTAAATTCGGATATAGGTGTTACTGGTTAATAGTTGTCAGACTAGAATAGTGGTCGTATCTTCAAAATTAAGAAGAGACGTTGGAAGTAGATTAGACATACATTACGGAAATCACCAAACTGCACGGCAAGCCTCAACATGGAATCTTGAAGGGTAGCGGAAAAGAGGAAGGCCAAAGAACACATTACGTTGGGAAATAGAATCAGATATGAAAAGGATGAATGTTAACTAGAAATTATTGCTCATGACAGAGTTGGATGAAAAGTGGTGGTCGGCGGCTTATGCTCCTCCACGAGGGATAACAGTCATAAGTAAGTAAAATTATGGTCAATACAAGGATATTTATTCAGTTTTGAGAAATTCCATATGGATGTCTTCCTAAAATCCAATTAAAATTAAATATCTTCAGCTACTAAGAAATTAATCTTAGTGAATAATAGTTGGATAGTAATATCTAAATCTGTCTTATTTCATATTGATATTTCTAAATCACTAATGTATAATGATCATGAATTAACTTTGTTTTCCTACCACACTTAGTTATAAATCAAGCTACAATTATAAATTTTCTATAAGGATCAATTTTAGTCCTAAATAACAATGGGAAGATACAAGTAATCAATACCAAGTGAATTTAAGCTTCACCGTATCGCACAAGCAATTGGCTATCAGGATTCAGTAGCTAAGTGTATAACGTGATGGCGTCTAAAGCGAATTGTATCAGGTTCGAATCCCAAAGTGAACATCAACTCTGATATGCAGGTTTACATCCAGCTGACGAGTCCGAAATAGAACGAAACACGTGTTCAACTGGATTTCACTTCTACCTACTATCCATTTTTGCTTACAATGCTTGTGAATTAAGGTTATATCAATGCAATACGCACAGCATGCACAGGATGCCAATAAGAGACTGATCAACTGCAGTCCCAAATATTAATGGGAAGATTGAAACAAATAATACCAAGTGAATTTAAAACTTCACCGCATTACACAATCAAGTGGCTATCAGGACTCAGTAGCTAAGTGTAAAACGTGATGGAGTTTGAAGTGATCGGTACTGAGTTCGAGTCTCGGATTCAACATCAACTCTGAGATAAAGGTATATATCCAGCTGACGAGTCCCAAATAGGACAAAACACATGTCCAATTGGATTCCACTTCTACCCACTATCCATCTTTGCTTGTAATGATTATACTATAATTCATTTCAATAATAACTATCTTGAATTGAAATATATTCTTACATAGGTAACACAACACTAATTTATGATTGGTTAAACTATTAACACACATGTCTTTCTTTTTAACGAATATTATTCATTTAGTGTGCACCATTCAACTAGTTGTGTAGATACATTTTTTTGGGGGGGAATTCGATTTGTTCAATCACATTTTCCCTTCCCTTTCTTATTGGTTCATATTCATTTTTTTATTTTGTGCTAAAATCAATATAATTAAAGGTACAAATCTATATTACATTAAGATAACTAACATCATAATACATTTATACCCAGAACACCGTTCTTCACTAATTATTATAATAAATAGTTACCATAGTAACAAAATCGAATATGTCCATTCAATTATTTTTTTTATTTTTTACTCATATCATCTTCATTCACACTACTCATAGTAGTCAATATGATAATGATGATGATCATCATCATCATTATTATGAACCTTCCAAAAGTATACAATCTCCAACTTTCCTAAAACAGATAGAAGATGAATGTGATAAATGTGATCGTAAAAAATGTTCACCTATTATACAATGTAATGTTGGTATAGTACGTGATAAATGTGGTTGTTGTGATATATGTGCATTAGAAGAAGCACAATTATGTAATATACCAAATGATTTTATAAATGGTATATTAAAACAAGGAATTACATGGTATGGTATATGTGGTACCGATTTAGAATGTCGTAAACGTACAGATATTGATTCAAAATTAATTGAATCACAAAGTATATGTTATTGTGTTAAATCAGGTAAAGTATGCGGTTCCGATGGGATAACATATTCAAAATGTAAAATGAATGCAACTATTATTTCATCAAATGGTAAAGTGATACCAATTAGTGAAGGACCATGTCAAACTGGTAAGTTACTGCTTTCGAAAGGTTTATATAATGGTGATTATTTAAATGAATGTTAATAAGTATGTAAAAATATAATTTATGAAAGTATGGCGGCGGAAACGTGAAGAACAACGAAGGCTACCACTTACAAGTTATAGGTGTTTATCAATAGTTGTCTACACAAAATACTTTGGATCCGTTGACCAGACACTATCAGCAACAAGTTATTGTGAGAGAGAACAAACTGGATTTCAGTGGAGGAAGAAATCAGGTAGAAGCGGTGGAAGTGGATAGGACACATTGAGGAAATCACCCAACTGTATCACAAGACAAGCCCCCACCCAAAATTCTCAAGGCCAGATGAGAAGAGGAAGACTAAAGAACACATTACTCCGAGAAATAGAGACAGACATGAGAAGAATGAACAAAAGTTCGATAATTGGGTAATTCATGAAAAAATCCTACTATGACTCGTAAGACACTTACATGATGCTTCTTAATTAATTAAGCTAACTTAAAAGCATTAAGTTTGTTATGAATTTTAAAAAGAAGGCCCTATGCCAATTTGTTGTAATTTTATGCCTGGCTTTTATCACGTGATTTATCCACCAATCGAAATATGACTTTTCCAATCTTAACACTGTGCCAAATCAATGACGTTCGACTAGTATGAGGAGTCTAGCGTCCTCATTCGTCCCTTGTCCGCCTAGACCTTCCAATTGAGTCCAAAAACACCAATAACAGCTTCTGCTGTGCGGATCATTTATTTCAAGCATATTCGGTTTATATACCAGCTAAACAGACCGCATCCCATCATAAAATAGAAGGATCAAGTCAAAATGTGACTGTGAATGTGGGAGACAGTAAACAATAAACTGAATATAATTTAGGGACAGTAAATCGCATAATAATAATTCATAGATCCAAATGAAGCTTATAATAATATGAATATAGATATATACAATCTAATTACTCAATAGTTAAACAATAACAATATATGTTAAGCAGAGACGGATAGTGGCTAGCAGTGGAATCCAGGACGCGCGTTTCGTCCTATTCGGGACTCGTCAGCTGGATGCACCTGCATCTCAGAGTTGATATTCACTCTGGGACTCGAACCCAGTACCCTCGCTTCAAACGCCATCGCGTTATCCACTCGGCTTCTGAGTCCTGATAGTCACAATATATATATATATAGAATAATCGTCCACTGATAGACTCATGATCTTAACTATATAAAATTATCAGTTACTATCTGTGCTTCTGTTTTACTACAACACCAGTAGGAGTCCAAATAAACAACTTTTGTTTAGTTTCCAACTTCATCCTGTAAGGTGTAACTGCCGACTCTAAAAAGCATGGAATCTAAAAGATTCAGTTTTTGAAACCAATATAGTATTATATCACTACTGGTTTAAATTTTGATATTTCAATCTATTTGTGATATTGGAATTCACTTAGTATTGCTTTGTTTGAATATTCCCATTGATGTTTAGGCCTGCAATTCTTCATTATCATTGCTATTACATTACTTTGTCTCAATTACTATATTAATTTGATATGTTTATTGATGTTAGTGAACATTTGTATCAGGCTTTACACGTTTGGAATAGAATAGCTGATACTTGAGTTACGTTAGTTTTTGTGTCATACGTTAGAACTAAGCACTATTCAAAACACGATTTTATAGAGTAGATATAGCAACTATCCTTACACCCAATTTCCATTATGGTTAATTTTGGTGAAGCCCTTTTTAATTATTAGAAGGGGTTTTTTTGTGGAGATTTGGTATGTTTCATAGATGAAAGCATGAGTCAATTGAAGCTAGACCACCGAGGAAAACCTGGAAATACTGGGCGGCCGTTTCGTCCTATTATGGGACTCCTCAGCAGTGCGCATCCACGAACCCGCTCTCGCGAGCGAGATTCGAACCCAGGACCTACCAGTCTCGAGCCGAAGCCCTTAACCGATAGACCACTGAGCTGGCATCCAACGGTGTTAATGTCTAACTTCAACTGATCCACGAAGTTGAGCAACCATTCACCAATTGTCATCAGTGAGTTCCTATCTCACGACGGACGTGGTTTGCACTCCACTGGTCACTGCTTCTCACTAGAGCTCCTGGATGTACTTCCCGAAGTCACTAGTGAGCATATGATTATATTAATTATTAGAAGGGGTTTTTGTGGAGATTTGGTATGTTTCATAGATGAAAGCATGAGTCAATTGAAGCTAGACCACCGAGGAAAACCTGGAAACACTGGAAACACCGTTGGATGCCAGCTCAGTGGTCTATCGGTTAAGGGCTTCGGCTCGAGACTGGTAGGTCCTGGGTTCGAATCTCGCTCGCGAGAGCGGGTTCGTGGATGCGCACTACTGAGGAGTCCCATAATAGGACGAAACGGCCGTTCAGTGTTTCCAGATTTTCCTCGGTGGTCTAGCTTCAATTGACTCATGCTTTCATCTATGAAGCCCTTTTTGTTATCTTACTTAATAGACATTGTCATTGGGATAGTAACAATTTGCATATATCTTTGTACTGTTATGATCACTAGAGCACATGACACAGACTCCAGCCAAAACGTTGATTACTTAAGTATCATTCAATGATTTATCTTCCTCTCCATATATGTATGCACTCAAATCCTATTATTAGCTTTTGTTTTGCCTTGCTGGGCCCTCATACAATTTGACTATAAATTTGCCTATGTAATTGCTTGCGCTTGTTGCTCACTGATACTTACTCATGTGCTTATAGCTTTGTCACCTGCATTATTCGATAATGAAACTGTAGTTGCATCTTCGCTTTGTCTTCTGATTTCATGCACCGTTAAGATATTTGTATTATAACGGTTATCGAGGTGAAAGATTAGCGAAGCATTACATTACATAGTTTATTTATTTATTTATTTGAACACATAAACATTGGTACAAAGGGGCACCGAATACATATGCGTCGCACAAATCTCATTCGATTTGTGTGAGGGCTGTGATACTGTCCAGGTGCCAAAACTGAAGCAGGTGGTTTTCTTAGGGGGCCACACTCGGAGCCTTTGACCTAAAGGTCTGATCCAAAAGGCAGTGGAGCATCGTGAGGAGATGCAGTCCCATCGTAGCTGGTGACCAACTATTGATTCATACACCATTTGTTCCCTCACGATCATGGAGCCCATGTACACCATTGGTTTGGAATCAGGGTTTTCCAACTCCCCTAAGTGAACATTCTGTATCCACCAAACCGGTTAAAGCACCGGACATTCGCTTTTCGTCCTCTCAATTTCGTAAGCAACAGTGATGCCACGAGAAGGCAGTGAGTAGGACTTTCGTGGCAGAGGCTAGATATACGCGTGGCCATATGAGAGCATTTGGAGAGGGAGAGTTGACTCTCCCCACTCTCGGCCGTACCAGGGCGTTTGGGGGCACACTGCATAGAAGAGAAATGAAATATTTGCACGTTGAAATAATTGAAATGTCTTAAAAGACAGCTACTAAGTATAAAAAATTCACTAATAAATATATAAAAGCTAAGGAAAAGCCGATTGTAGCTAAACTCAATATAAAGTCAATCTTCATTCCTTTTTTAATCTAAAGTTGTAAGGATAGTCAGTGCATGACTGAACACTACATCATGCCGATGCAGTTTGAAGTCAAGCTAATAATCCTGTACAGCTCATCATATTCAATAACTCGATCACTCTTGATCGCCTCTAAATGATCAAGAGAATTATTTGTACAAAACTTATTCATTATATGAGTCAAACTGATTTTTCTGTATTTATAACCAAGGGATTCCTGACCATCCTTCTAAATTTTTAGCAATCGATTAACGAGGCCAGTCATATGAGATTACATCCAATTTCTGGATTCTAGTTAATCTTCAGTCGGTATGACTTCTAAGACCGAACCACCATCTTTGAAGATCTCCGGTTCTAATTTATCAGGCCTGGTTCCTCTATCTTGTATTGGATTAGCTATTGCCTTTCCAAGTAAATAATAAGAATTCATTGTGATAAGTTTGTTCTTATTTTTGAAACTTGGATTTATATTTATTAACTAACACTAAAAAGAGAACCCCAAATATTTACGAAGAGATTACAGTAAGGCATAAAACCTATGCGATTGACGAAATATTAACTAAAGACTAATTGGAAAATATTCCTCTTCCTTCTGGTGATTGACTGGATTATGAAGACTTCGACATCTTATGTGAAATACGGAATACAATGGACTTCTCAGAAGCAACTAGATGATTTGGACTTCGCAGATGACCTAGCCCTCCAATCTCATACACACGAACAAATACAGTTGAGGACAGCATATGTGGCAGCAGCCTCTGCATCGATAGGACTTCAAATTCACAAAGGAGAAAGCAAGATTCTCAAATACAACACGGAGAACACCAACCCAATCACACTTGATGGCGAAACTCTGGAAGAGGTGGAAACATTCACGTACCTGGGAAGCATCGTTGATAAACAAGGAGGATCGGATGCATATTTGAAGGCGAGGATTGACAAAGCAAGGACAGCATTTCCACAATTGAAGAACATCTGGAACTCTGTGAACTAACATCATAAAGAAATGTTTTTAGCATTTCAGGTGTCATAGACGTTTGTTTCACCTAGGATACGAATAACCCTTTGAGAGATAGAATATAGAACAGAAACTGTGATCTAGAGTTGAGTACAGTAAACATATACTTAGTAGATGAATTAGATTAGTTGGAAAATTAATAACACTAAAGGGTATTAAGAATTAGTATAGATGATGACTGTATTGTGGAGATTATGGATTGACCAACTGTTTGATCCTAGATAAATGTCACTTGCAATAACAATTAAAATATGTTAAGTAACTGATATAAATTACAGGCTTCGTAGAATTCCGATATTCACTACTGAAATGAACTCGATCTTGGGTAATTGTAGTCTTGAGAGTACATTCACGACAATTCTAATTTGATTGTTGAACTACACGCTTTAAGGTTTGATTAGGTGATATACCTTTGTAATTACTTAAACTGACTAATCATATAAGTCATCGAAAAATATCATGTGGCTTTACTTACTTACTTACACCTGTTGCCCCCAATGGAGCATAAGCCGCCAACCAGCATTCTCCAACCCACTCTGTCCTGGACCTTCCTTCCCAGTTCTATCCAATTATTGTTCATTCTTCGCATACCTGTCTCCATTTCTCGGCGTAATGTGTTCTTGGTTTTCCTCTCCTTCTTTGGCCTTCAGAATTCCATGTGAGGGCTTGTCTTGTGACCGAGTTGGGTGATTTCTTCAATGTGTATCTGTTGGGGATGTCAAATCCCCAGAACTTACTTGATAAATGGTTTAATTTTGTAATTTTATCTTGAAAAATTGAATTTAGCTGTTTTCGCGCCAAAAGCGCTATTTTACCTTCACATCATAATTCCCACTTGTAAACTATCTTAAACGCTATTGATCCATTGTTTCTTGAGTGTGCTATTTTATAATGATGCCCAAGGACAATTAGTTGCTGTATATATACGTTTGAGTTTTTCCTCTTATGACTTGCTTGTACTCGGCAGCTTAGGGAATACATATTTCACCACTTTGCCTTGGATTTCTTCATCTAGTTAGCGGGGCCTTGGACAACAGATTAGATTAGCTTATCGTGTCATTGGCCTTCATTCGTTATCGCGAAATCGACTTATTTCAAGTATATCAATATCCTTTCCACTTCCAGTGCTTCTTCCTCCGCTGGATAGAATCTGGTTTGTTCTCTCCCACAATAGATTGTTGCTGATAGCGTTTGGCCAACATTATAGAAAACAGACAGACGTTATAAATATCGTTAGGTAGGTATCATGGTGAATTTTTGGTGTGCTATTTTCTCAGAGTTTGTATAATTTATTAACCTTACACTATATTCTTATTTCTTTCTCTCTTACTTCAAGTACCTTCGGTCAAATTAACTGTATTAAATCAAACTGTTATTGAAGGTACTAATGTTACTTTGATATGTGAAGCACGTGGTTATCCAATTCCAACTATTAATTGGTATTTTAATAAACCAAATCAAAAACAAGATAAAATTCAAATGCCAGGTACGTAATCATAACTATTGAGACTTTTATTATTATTTTTTTGCTTTTTTTATTTAGATTGTGGTAGTCGATATTCGATATTATCTTTAAACTTCCTATATTATTCGTCCTGATAACTATTACTGGTGAGACTAACAATCAGAAGCGTCTGAGGGATTCCAAGTTTACGGCGCCTATTTCAGTGCCTGATGCTCATGTACGATCGGTTCACAGAGAATTATAGAGAAGACTTGACAATTAAGCGGCTACAACAAATGAAACTACTAAGAAGTTCCTGTATTTGTAATTACGAGTATTAAATGACTTGTAGACCTTGTGCAGACTACCGTGATGTTGTCTTTCGATGTAATATATGTTAAAGGAAGAGGTTTGCTAGAATAAGAACCCTTATCGCTCGATCCAGATTGAAACTACGGCATATTATAATAATTATCGTCAACTGTATCATAATAGCACCAGTAACATTGGCTGCAATAATCGCAGATGTTACTGAAGCTTCGGCTATGCAGTAGTATGAGTATTTTTGGGGGATATCTATAATAAAAAGGATAAACTTACACAACCGGAGTACAAACCAAAAATAATGAAGCTATGTGGTCGAGGTTGAGAGGGTTTTTATGACCTTATCACGGCTCCAGAGACCAACTATTATCGAGCCATATGGATGAGTTCCTCTACCTTATGCATTACGATTTTGGAACCTTTGGACCTTTTTCTAACATTGACAAGTTTTTGGACCATATAAAAGAAGTGTATCCACTTTAATCAGGTGGTTTTGTACAATATATTTTTACTCTATACTGACTGTTTACTGATTGGCTAACATTTCTCAAGGTCACTTAAGATTCGTTCAAAGGTCGTCCATAAACTGTAATCTCGCCCCGTTACTCGATAACCTCCTAACGGTGTATAAATCAGAAGGCTAAGACGAAGGGTTGATTTCGTTTATTATTGAACCACACACAGATATCCAAAATTGTAGACACGTTAATCAAGCATGAAAGAGTAGTGCCGTAAAGTAGGCGAGTGAGCGTGCAGGTCGAATGAGCGAGTACAGTGCAGTGCAGTGAACATGATTAAGATGTACATATATATACAAATGAAAAAGCATGAACCGTCGAATCAATTAAGCGTTTAATAGTAAGGCTAGCAGAATGAATACATGCGTAGGTAGTAAGCAATGTTCAAGCGCACGTAATAAAGGTACAATAGTATAGATAGGTTGTTGTTGTTGTTGTACGAATGACTTTCCGTTAAATAACTTAACAAAAGGGCTTAGCCAAATTAGATGTAAACAAACTCAATTGTATGTGGACTGCTATAAGCTAAATCTCTCATACATTTGAAAATATTTTCATATTGATGATGTCATAGTGTAGTGTGCGCTACTTATATCGATATAAGTAGTACTACTGCTAGTTAGCAATAGAAAAAGTGGCAGCAGAAGGTCAAGAAGATCGAGAAGGAAAGAACAGGAAAAGAGAGCAATTATTATGGAAATGAAGGATCAGTGAATTCTGAGACGATTGATAGACATTTTGCAAGTATGATTCTCAGATTTTACTAAGAGATTTTGTAATCTTGTGTTCTCGTTCACTACAATAGTACTCTAAAATATTACCCTGTATAAGAATCACACTCTTTCTTTCTGCCACTCCAATGATGATGAGGAATGGATCTACAAAAAACGAACAGTGGTACATCTTACCAACTGAAAACTAAATCAGTTGACTTAAATTTTTAGGAAGTGGTCGAAATACATAATGTATAACGCATTCTGTTACGTCCTTGATCTGTCTACCCACTTTAGTGCCGAGGATAACTTGTCTAATGTAGACTAAGACCTTGATGCAATAGGCTAACTGGTTTAACCTTGAGGCAACGATGCGTGAGTTCGAAGTGGGGTAGAGAGACGAAAACTATTCTATCACCTGATTGGCTGGCAGGCATGCGAGAGAGAGAAGACAAGACAACTGGAATACTACTCGCTTTATTCCAATCCCGATCTGATACCCGAATTCAGATTAGTGTAAAAAGATATATGAATAAATAGATGACTAACCTTACCACAACGTACAAAACTGAGGGATTAGAGTAGAAAATAGAGTACAAAAGGTTACGTCTAAATTACAATAGCTTTGGAACAGAAAAAGCTATGGCAGTGAATCAAACGAAAGCTTATGATCTATAGAAGGGACAAAAGTAAATGTTACAGTTTTACAAGCTTTGAATCGTATGAAATAACGTCTCAAAAAATAGCTTCCGTAGTTTGTCAAGGCATGTTGTTTCGATGTTCACATCACATTCATTTATTATTATCCGTAATAGACAAAAGTGGAAACTCAGATATATAACATTGTAAACGGATTTAGTCGCACTTAATGAAGTGTATATTTAACCCAATTAGATGGATATATATGAGACTTGAAATATGTGATAGTTGAAAAACCTACCTTACCGATTCGAGCATTCAATTATCTTTAATGTAAATTATATTGATTTCTACCAGTGTTGCAGTGAATGAGAACACGAGTGAGGAACTATCGAATGTATTTGAGCATAAAATTACAGGGATACTCATTGAAATGTTCGTAACATAACAAATTGTTGATTTCTTGACTACCGCGATTACAGAATGTGAAATATCAAAAATAGCAGACACAACATAAATATTTAGTTTAAAACTACCTGAATCTATCATAATTTTAACATGCATGAACTTACTTACTTACGCCTGTTACTCCTAATGGAGCATAGGCCTCCAACCAGCATTCTCCGACCCGCCTGTAGCCCCTCCGGCTTGGCTACTGCCGGTCTCAAGCCCGGATTAAGGATGAAGGTTGGACATGGGGTTAGCGACCCCCACCCCATAGAAAACCAACTCGCTAAAAAACACTAACGATGTAACATGTATCCTTAACAATAAATCTAATTATTGGTCATAAATTTATAGTTCTTTTGTTGGGCGGAGGAGAATTTATTATTCTATTATTATTCTTTTCTATTTCAAAGGTAATTACAAAGATGTCACAGTAAGTGTTCGTGGTGGAACTGAAGAGACACATACAATCTCTTATTTACAAATAACAAGCTTTACATTAGAATATGAAGGTGAATATATTTGTATGGCTGATAATATTGTTGGAATTAAAGCACAAGGTACATCATTAGTTAGAAATGCAGCTTCATCAATCTATTCATCATCATCTTCATGAATTACATCGAATAAATCATAATTATAGAATGATGAAGGCAAAACATTAATAATGGATTGAATATGTATGGCATAAATATGTTTACAAAATTAAAACATACATAAAAATACTACTTACAAACATATAAGTAATATAAGAATATTTATATAATTTTTAAACTGAATACAAACTATAGCCTAGTTATCCATCGGAAAGTTATCTATTTCATTGTGCATGTTTCTCTGTTTTTGTTTTTTCTTTTTGAAATTGACATTACTAATCAAGTTATGGACAAATATAACTTTAACCAGTAATTAGTTCTTTATAACTTGTTGTTTTTCTTTCCTTTATCTAGTTACCTGTTAACTGAATAATTGATCTCATCTTTGTTCCATTCAGTTGGTGTTGTTTACTTGTATCTTCGCATTGTTATTTAGAACTGAAATTGATCAGTCTCTTGTTGGTATATGTGCATCTTGTATGGACTGCCTAGATATTGCCTCAAGTCACAAGCTTTATAAACAAAGATGGATAATGGCTAGCAGTGGAATCCAGGATGCGTGTATGAAGCATACACATACACCAATGAGAGAGAAACTGATCAATTGCAGTCCTAAACATCCATAGGGAGATTCAAACAAACAATACCAAATGAACTTAAACTTCACCCTATTGCACAAACAAGTGGCTATCAGGACTCAGTAACTGAGTGGATGACGCGATAGCATTTGAAGCGAGCTATACTGAGTTCGAGTCCAAGAGTAGACATCAACTCTGAGATCTAGTACATCTAACTGACGAGCTCCGAATAGAACGAAACGCTCTTTGTCCTGGATTCCGTCGTCTTATTTGGGACTCGTCAGCTGAATATACACCTGCATGTCAGAGTTGATGTTCATTCTGTGACTGAAAACCAGTGCATTTCGCTTCAAACGCCATCGCGTCAACCACCTAGATACTGAGTCCTGATAACCACTTGCTTGTGCATTGGGGTGAAGTTTAAATTCACTTGGTGTTGTTTACTTTTATCTTCCTATTATTGTTTAGGACTGCAATTGATCAGTCTCCTGTTGGTATATGCTCATCTTGTGCGGAATGGATTGATATTGCCTTAATTCACTAGCCGAAATTACACCCATTAATATCTTGATTTGTAAGCCCGTTTGATTGTTAATTGGAAAAATACATATGATAAATACTCAGAATTAGAACAAATCACTAGCCACATGTCTTCAACCATTGGTTAGGATAGTCACGTGGACCCCAACCAAGTAGTCTGCATCTACCAACAAGGCTCAGACTATGAGTTAGTGATTTCAATCAGATACCATGCTTTCGTTTGGCTAACCCTACTTCTCTTCCAACCTTCGCCAATACTAGTTAGCTTTGCGCGTCTTGGTAATCAGTGTGCAGGCATATGTAACACGTGACTTAACCATCTCAGTCGACGATGATCGACAACCATCTCAACTGATTCATCATCATTTCCTAATACTCTACGTCTAACCTCACTATTACTTACCCGGTTATCCCAGCAGGTGCGAGCAATATTTCCAAGGCATCTGTGGTCAAATACTAGTAACTTACGAGTATCTTCTACCCTTAATGGCCATGTTTCACAGCCGTAAAGTAGAACAGTGAGAACTGCTGCGCAATATACTCGTTCTTTAATTGATAAACGGACATATATCATTTAGGGAAACAGTGATATGAAAGCAATCTTTCAACAAGACATTTTGTACTAGGTTAATAGGCTGTTCATTGAGTTTCAGAAATTCTTCATGAGTTTTAACTTGCGTATGGGCGATAGCAAGTACAGTAACCCAACTTATAGAAAGGTGAACCACCCTTGAAATCAACTGTAAAGGGGAGGTTTCACTCAACAGTCAGAAGCTTATGAACTTTAGTGTCTATCACAGAATTGTGTGGTTTTAAAAAGTCAATATGATTCTAATACACAACGAAATTACACCCATACATACATATGCTAAATGCTCAGAATTAGAACTAATCATATGTTACCTGTTACCCACAACACAGTTGACTTTTATGGGGTTTAATTTAAAACGCTTCACAAATTTGATTGACGAGCATGTCTATATCGAACAGGAAAGCGAAGAATGTATTTTGAGAGATATTTGTTGACGGTGGATTTTCAACTGATGAAAAGTTAACCAGATAATTCATAGATTTTGGGAATCAAGCTTCCTATCATTTAATTATAAAGAATAACTATTGCAAAGAGAGCAATTTTCATATCAAATGTGTGTGCAGAATGAAAGGGCATCGTCAGCGGCCCACGACATCTTCGTTGAGACGAAGGTATGTTTCTGAAAATATCCAATACATAATCAAATAGGCAAACTATTGATTGTGGATGTCGATTGTTTACTCATTTTGTATGCTAAATGGACTTTTTACCGTAACTAGATGATCAGTAGCTTTTTTATGATTTGATCGTTTTCATTCTTTTGTAAGGTCTTTATTAGACGACGAGTTGAAGCTGCTGTGTAGTTTGCAGTAAACAATTTTCAAAACTTATTGGATTCATTGATGTTTTTTCATTAAAGCTGACCAACCGCTCCAGTGAAATCAGAGCTGTGCTGTTAACTAGTTCAGTCAGTCACAACATAGGACTAGGCACATATATGCATCGGTCGAAGTTACCATACCTCGTTAGCACAACAAGATGAACACGGGATTCATAGAAGTAGTTAATTTAATGATGGTAATATATAAAAGGAAGATTGTATATAAGGATATCGTATAGGAAGGCAGACAGATATGAAGCAATTTTAATCTTAAGGTTTAAGGGAAGATAAAGAGTGTATACACCTGCGCCAAGTGTTAACTAGATCAGCTGATGTGCAACCGTTATTTCCTTTGAGAGTCGAGAGGATCCTGAGGAAGACAAGTGGTAAAGTATGGGTACATTAAGTTGCATCAGCCTGAGATATAAGTCAATTTTTTTAATTAGAGATAAATTCTTATGACCATATCATTCGGTGCCAAGTAGTGGACTGTTGTCTTTATTTGATATCCTCCTAGTAAGCAATTCACAAGTTACAACAATTTAAATTTTAATATTTGAATTCATGAATCAATTGAAGTCAGACCACCATAAAAAACCTGAAATCACTAGACGGTCGTTTTGTTCTAGTATGGAATACCTCATCAGTGCGTACTCACGATCCCACCTCCCAAGATTCCAACCCAGGGTCTATTAGTTTCGCGCTCGAGCGCTATAACCCTGAAACCCTTCAGACGCTTCTGATTGGCTCATCCATAAATTATAGTCTCGCCTAACTTTCATTTTATTATCATTCACTTATTCGAATACTGTTTTTATCGTACATCATTCTGTGTGCCATCATTATGTAGTTACATAAGTTTATAAGTAGTTTATAAGTAGTATAAAAATAATTAAGTATATTCACTATTATATATATATATATATATAAACTTTATCAATTACGTAATCATTGTTCATCTAAAACTTCCATTTTTATTTGTAATATATCTGTCAATCTTTTCAATTCATCTTGTTTCATACTTAATTGATGTTCTAAACATTCAGTAGTATGACATAGATTTATCCATTGTTGTTCTATAATTGCGGTTTCTTTATCATATTCCATTGACATAGTTTCAGTTTTAGGAACAAGTTGGGAATATTCATTTTGTTTTAATAAGGCTAAATATGCTAAATTTGTATCTAATAAGTGCCTTGGTAATTCAATAGTAGATTCAGTATCATTGATAGTTTCAACTGGTTGACCATTAAGTATATTAGCTAATAAACTTTCTCTTATAGTCCCATCGGTTGATTGTAAATATCGTATTATACTTTGATTGTATACACCTATCAATTTTTCATTTCCTGATCTATAATAAGTAGAACAATTATTAATAATACAAAAAAGTAAAGAAAACAGTTGCTAAGATACTATGAAATCTTCAACTGTCAATACAACATTGATAATCAATATTATTGAGCTAAACCACCATGGAAGACTTGAAAGAACTAGATGGCTGTTTCGTCTTATTGTGGGACTCCTCAGCAGTGCACATCCACGACCCCGCCTCGCGATATTCCAACCCAGGACTTAATCTCTAGATCACTGATCTGGCCAGCATCCAACGGTGTTAATGTCTAACTTCAACTAATCCACGAAGTTGAGTGACACATCCACGATTGTCTTCAATGAGTTGATATCTCACAACAGACCTGATTGAATTCTATTGGTCACTGCTTCTCACTAGAGCTTTGTTACTCATATAACTATAGACTAATATTTTGTTTTTTAAATATAGTTGTTTATCAATTTGAAACATTATTTTCAGGGCTATCCACTTTAAATAACTGGGAAAATGTCAATACGAAATATAAGAAGCTAAACTTCATAAACGTTTAACATAAATATACGTTTTTTTATATTTAAGATGGTGGTTGGAGGTAGTTAACAGGAGACTCTGGACTCAGGTTTCGTGCTACTTGGCACTCGTCAGCAAGGTGTACCTGTAATCTTGAGGGAACTGATGCTAGACCCAGGGATTTCTGTTGACTACCTCCAACCACCATTTTATCTCACCATAGTGCACGCAATATGGCATCATCTAGATTGGTGACCGAATTGCAACTTGGTCGATAGGATTCGATTTGTATTAAGAAGGATCTGACATACATGACATTAATTACCACCCAGTAATCAATCAATTGTAAATACTTTTTTTCTTTATTTTGCATAACTAGGCAACTTTGAATAACGTCATCTACTTGTTGTACTGACGAAAACATTTTAAAATATTCCTCTCTTAGTTCACTGATGTGTGGTATACATGAAAACTGGATGGATAGAGATGATTCACGTAAAACTACTGAAGTCTGTAGATGTATATTAGTAATTATAAGTAACCGTTATGCACGCTTTGTGGATTATATTTTTCAGAGGGGGTTTTTTGGAGAATTTAGTATTTTTATAGTTGAAATCATGGGTCAATTGAAGCTAGACCACCATGGGAAACCTGGAAGCACTGGATGGCCGTTTCGTCCTATTATGGGACTCCTCAGCAGTGCTCATACACGATCCCGCCTAGCGAGCGAGATTCCAACCCAGGACCTAACAGTCTCGAGTCGGAGCCCTTAACCGATAAACCACTGAGCTGGCATCCAACGGTGTTAATGTTATATTATATTTTGAAACTATAATAACAAGGATTTAATTAATGTAAGCATAATAAATCTTGTTATTATGTACTTATCAAAAACATAACTACCTGCATAAATTGTAACAATTTGAGCAGTATTTCACAATTCAGAACAACATATATAAGCGAACAATATTGCTGTCCATTAGATCCTCATCAAGCTATACTCTAATATGAGTCAGTCACAACGTAGAACTTCCTTCCTTGTGAGAAGGTCGCATCATTGCAGATGCTGGTTGTCCGAGGTCAACACCTTACTGCTGTCACAGCCCTCTAAAGTCAGCAGTACAACTTCTTCCTCAGACTTTGAGTTGCTGCTTTTAGTTTTACCGTTCTCCAATCGACCTGCCTGGCATGGTAGAACCTACAGGAACATGTGTTCCAGCCAATATAGCTCGGTTGGGTCATCACAATAGGCAAGCCCGACCACCACTAAGTCCAGGTAGCAGCTACGGTCAAGATACTCTAATATACAGTAATATTTATATTCATATACGAAATTTTTAAACCAATCAAGGCAGTTTATGAGTTAAAGATAACAGTGTAATGGATTACATAATAAGTGAAAAGTACAAATAGGCAGTGTGGTCCCAGGTGCACTAGTTGTGATAAGAATAATAAAAGGCTTAAATGAATGTTACATAATGGGAAATATGTCAATGATTCGAAAAAATATAGACACTGAAATAACATTCATAAAAATTATAAGATTATGTTAAAAGAAGTGTTCAGATAATTGGACCGTGAAGCGAATATTTGAAAAATAAACAAATAAGTGCTCTGGCGCGAGACTGGTAGGTCCTGGGTTCGAATCTCGCGAGTACGAGATCGTGGATGTGCACTGCTGAGGAGTCCCATAGTAGGACGAAACGGCCATCCAGTGCTTCCAGGTTTTCTATGGTGGTCTAGCTTCAATTGAATCAGGATTTCAACAATGAAAATAAATAATTGGTAGGGGGGTTGAAGAAAAATAAACGAAGAAAGAGTATGGAAAATAATAATAAATAAAATAATTTATTAAGGCCACGTGAAAGATAAAAGTGTTACAAACTTCTTATGAACACAAAGACTTGAATTGTTAGCTTGAATTCCTATAGCTTCTACTATTTGTAAGAGATGAGATCGAACACCATAAGGAAAACTAGTAGGAATACGATAAATGACCTACTTCTGTCTACTACATGACCACTATCGATGAGGAATGATAGAACTGAGTTGCGTATTGTCTTGACAGTACTTTTCCCTAACCACGAAGGGAGGTGTTCACTGACTCGTTGGCTCAGTTATATGGTAATGCACCCAATATAGCTTTCTTTACAGGAGCAGCTGAATTTGTAGATACACATGGAAGTGTCATAACCAGGTGATTTATTTTTTAGTTGAGGAACCACAATAGATCGGGTTTAGTACGATAGACAAAGGTTAGCTACATTAAACGTTCTCTCAACTGCTTTAGTCAGTCTATCACATAGCAAATCATCAGCTACATCTCTATTGAATGACAGCTTCAGGAAAGAAGATCTCTTACTAGCCGTTGATGTCGCTGCTTTCTTGTTTGTCACACGCAAGTGTTTATTCAAGAAATCTTGTGTATATTAGAGTCAAACCTGATAAGGATCTAATCGAAAACAATATTGTTCAATTATATGTTATTCTAAACCTCAATATCTAAGGAAAAGAGGAAGACCAAAGAACACATTACGCCAAGAAATGGAAACAGACATGAAAAGAATGAACAAAAATTAGATAGAACTAGAAAGGAAGGCCTAGGGTAGAGTGGGTTGGAGAATGATGGCCAGCGGCCTGTATTCCTTAGGGAGCAACAGGCGTAAGTAAAGTAAATGTATGGGAATCTTTTCAAGTTTCAGAATTTGTCTAACAAGGAAAATGGATAAAAACAAAAAAAAAGCTGAATCAACCACTTACTGAACATTTAAATAGTCCTTCTGAAATGGGATATTAAAAGTAGTATATCACATTTTGTTTTACAATAAAACATACCACATTTTTAAATGTTTGTGTAGCATCAAGATCTTCTATTTTATTCAAATATTCATTCCATCTTTCTGCATAGAACTAGATTAGAATAGAAATTTTTCGTTTAAACATTAATGAATATCAGAAGGAGTTTTGTGGAGATTTTACTAATTTTAATAGTTGAGATCATGAATCAATTGAAGCTAGATCACCGTGGAAAATCTGGAAGCACTGGATGGCCATTTCGTCCTATTGTGTTATTTCTTAGCAGTGCACATCTCTGATTCTGCTCCGCGATATTTGAACCCAGACCGTGCAGTGTTTGCAGGTTTTTCATAGTGGTCTAGTTTAAATTGACTCATGAATTCAACCATAATATTATTAAAATCTCTACAAAATCACCTTTCGGATGATAAAAACAAATTTCTAAAATTAGCTGTTCAAAACCCCCTGATGATAAACGGTGAAAAATTTCTTTCAGGCTGCCATGTAAAGCTAAAGATCTTATGTGAGACTGGAGGTTCGCCATTCATATTGCGGATGGATCAGCTTTGCTTTGGTAAGTTTTGCTTACTAATCATGTCCAAAATTGGTTTGCTGGCTAACTGATTTCATTCATAATGATGGTTGCTTTTCAGTGTTCTCAAGAACCATTGTCAATGGAACATTATAAGGCATGTCGCCATTGCTAACATTAGTGAGTTTGACTGTCGTGTAAGTGGAATAGGTCAACTTTGGTCTGTTCATGCTGTACATAAGTGATTTACACGATCATTGATCGGAATAATTATACATATGTTGTGAATGTGTATATGAACGGTGCGAATGGTCCACCAGGGTGGTTAGTCCTTGTGTGGTTGCACCACAGGGTTGAACTGCACTGCTCGGGTTAAGCCAAAGGACAGTGTCTGGCTCTCCTGTGATTTTTTGAGTGAAACAGTCATTACTGAATAGCTCCGCTTTTTTTCTTTTACTGCAAAGTGTAGTGTAAACAATTTCGCTAACTGGAAATACGATACCATCAATCATCTATATATAGTAATGCTAATTACAGGCAACAATAAATTTTGCCGGTGTTCTCAATAATCAGATACAGATTATTGAATGAAAATATAAACTTGTTAACTACCATTTTTTATAGTTGAATTCATGAGTCAATTGAAGATAAACCACTATGGAAAACCTGGAAGTACTGGACGACCGTTTCGTTCTATTATGGGACTCTTCAGCAGTGCACATCCAGTAGATAGAGAAAAAAAATATTTTTCTTATTTTTCTTAAAAAATATCAAACATCATGTTGATAACAAAATACAAAAGTATATGAGCTAAATTATTCTGAACTGAAAGGAAAACATTGTAAGCAAAAATGGATAGTGGCTAGCAGTGGAATTCAGAACAAGGCGCTTTTCGTCCTGTTTGGGACTAGCCAGCTGGATGTACCTGCATCTCACAGTTGATGTTCACTCTGGGACTCGAACCCAACACCTTTCCCTTCAAACGCCATCGCGTCCTGATAACCACTTACTTGTGCAATGGGGTGAAGTTTTTAAATGCACTTAGTATTGTTTGTTTAAATCTTCCCATTGACCTTTAGGACCGCAACTGGTCAGTCATGAGCCAATTGAATATAGACTACCATAAAAAACCTGAAAGCACTGGACGGCCGATTCATCCCTTTGTGAGACTCCTCAACAGTGAGCATTCAGTAGATAACAAAATACAAAAGTATATGAGCTAAATTATTTTGAACTTAAAGAAAAACAGTTCTTTAAGTTGACAGTTCAGGCATAGAGCCTTGATATATCACAATAAAATGTCAATAATATAAGGAACTAGGAATTTTACCCACACATTTTGTATCCTATCTTACTGAATCATTTAGTAAAATATAAACAAGTAAAGAAGGAAAGTGATGTGAACAGAGAAACAAGAAGCCTTGACAAACTACGGAAGCTGTTTTTGGAGACGTTATTTCATTTAATTCAAAGCTTGTACAAGAGTAACATTTACTTTTGTCCCTAGTCTATTCCACAGATCATAAGTTTTCGTTTGATGTATGATTTACTGTCATAGTCTTTTCTGTTCCAAAGCTATTGTAATTTAGACGTAACCGTTTGTACTCTATTTTATACTCTAATACTCCAGTTTTGGACATCATTGTATTTTCCTAATTATTGTACGTTATGGTCGGGTTAGTTATCTATATTATTCATGTAGCTTTTTACACTAATCTGAATTCGGAATTCGAGTACCAGATCGGATTTGGGAATAAAGTGAGTAGTATTCCAGTTGTCTTGTCTTCTCTCTCGCGCGCGTGCTTGTCAGCCAATCGTCTCTCTACTCTCACTTCGAACCCACGCATACTAGCCTCAAGGTTAAGTCAATCAGTCTATTACGTCAAGGTCTTAGTCTACATTAGACAAGTTATACTCGGCGCGAAAGTGGGTAAACAGATTAAGAATGTAAAAGAAAGTTAAAACAAATAAGGTTATACATAGAAGCTGAATTGACTAACTTTGAATGAATTCAATCGGGATAATATTGTTTTATGATTATAACAAATAGAAATATTCTTTTCATCTAAATGTTTCATCATTCGTGTAGCTAATCTGAAAATGATAGAAACAGTTGAGAAAGGATAGAAATTCAATGAAACACTATTGAAGATAAATAATTATTAAATCTATCTTGGTATTGCTTCTCATCATGGATTAACTTTAAATAAAGTTATATGTAATATACCCTTGTAGGCCAGGGTAATATTACATTTATTTTCAGGAGAATCAGAAACCATGCAGACATTCAAGTGACAACCCGAACAGTACAGCTCAATCTCGCCCCACAAGAGAACCAGACACTATATGGTCTTCAATGCTACAATCAGAGCAGTACAGCTAAATACTGTGGCGCAATCACACAGGTACCAAGCACCCTAGTGGACCATTCACACCATTCATATGCACATTTACATCACATGTATAAATATTCTGATCAGTGATCGCGTAAATCAATTATGCACAGTATGAACAGGTTAAAATGGAAACATTCCGTTTACACGACAGTCAAACTCATCAATGTTAGCAATGGTGATATGTCTTACAATGTTCCAATGACAATGGTCCTTGAGAACACTGAGTAGCAACCACCAGTATGAATGAAATTGGTTAACCAGCCAACAAATTTCGCGTATGAACAGTCAGCAAAACTTGTCTAAGTAAAGTCGAACCATCCACAATATCAATGGCGAACCTCCAGTCTCATGTGAGACCTTCAGCTCTACATGGCCATATAGCTTGTACTGTATACCACACACATATAGGGTAGTAAGCGAAACAGCCCAGCCTGAAGCGTTAGATTTGAAAGAACGCTTAAAATCCACAATCTGGTGTCGGAATACTAATACAAGACCACCAAGATCATTTTTATCTCATTTACGAAACTTTCAATTTTTCCGACTTTCCATATCCTGAGTTAGGGATAGTATCCCTAAATTTAAATATAAGACCAATTTCAATTGGAGAAGACTTAACATTTTTTATCTTTTTTCTAAATCAGTTTTTGCAGGTTTTTTTTTCATCTTCTACAGAATTGTGAACATTTAGATCATTTGATTATTTCCAGTTATCAAATCATAACTATACGATTCAGATTTTCAAACTTTATTCACTTGTATAGAACAGTCAGAATCTAACTCTATATTATCGATGAGTTTGCATTATAGTTTCTAATTAAAAGTTCCAAAAATCAAGCAGCAACTCGTCCCCTCCCCTCCGCCGCAATGGGTTGAATAAAATGGTTATTTATTACACCTTTTATTCATTGTCAACGACCATGCCTGATTTTATTAGGACTCTTAGTTCAATTTAAATCACTGAATTAAGTTTCATTTCTATTATATAGATACTCCTAGAGTAATTTATAGTTTCTTACTATTCATTGTTAATATACAATGTTACTTAAAAATTTATTCATATACACAAATCATATCTAAACAATTACAAAGGCTATATCGAGGCAATATTCACAGTACTTTCCATGTCCATCAACCCCGTTAAAGTGCCGGGCATCCACTTTTCATTCCCTCAATTTCGTAAACAACACACCCGTCACGAGAAGGCAGTGAGGAGTAGGATTTCCTTGGCACTCTTAAACATCAATGAGACAATTCAAACAACCAATATTCAATGAATAACAAAGATGAATTCAATAATTTACTTATATAATAATTCTGTCAATTCATTGAAACTCTTCTGTCTAGTTGAATTAGTTGCCATGGGAACATTTTGTTGATCATTTCTCATTTGTCTATTCAATTGTTGTATGATAGTAATTTGTTCATATGTAATTTGTTTATTTCTCATTTCATATATAGTTTCTATTCTATTTTTCATTAATTCCAACCATTTTTTTATATTTTGTAGATAATTTAGAACATTTTTATTTTCATTATGATGATGAATTGGATTCCATCTGAAAGATTTCAGAACAGAAAATCAAATTAGGAAATATATAATGACCACTCATCGTTGTGTAGAAGGTCTTGTCAATTAAGGCGATGAGTACAGGATGATCAATTAGAGTCTTAAACATCAATGGGGAGATCCAAGAGAAACAATATCAAGTGATTAGAAGTAAAGATGGATAGTGATTAGCTGTGAAATCCAGTTGGACACGTGTTTCATCCTATTTGGGACTTGTCCGATGGATGTATCTACAGCTTAGAGTTGATGATCATTCTGGGACTCGAACACAGTACCATTCAACCAAACAATACTAAATGAATGTCAAGTGAATTTAAAATTCACCTGATTGCACAAGTAAGTGTCTATCACGACTCAATAATTAAGTGAATGATATGATAGCGTTTGAAACGAACGATACTGAGTTCGAGTCTCAGAGTGAACATCAACTCTGAGATGTAGATACATCCATCTGACCAGTCCCAAATAGGAAGAAACTCGCGTCCTGGATTCCACTGCTAGCAACTATCCATCTTTACTTATAGGGCATGTGAATTAAGGCTATATCGAGGCAATATACACAGTATGCACATATGCAAATAAGTGAGATACTGATCAATTGCAGTCCTAAACATCAATGGGCAGATTCAAACAAACAATACAAAGTAAACTGATAGGTAATCACGATATAAAATTCTTTGTTTTTAATATTTTCTTGTATACCAATACTTACTTGCTTACTTACGCCTGTTACCCCTCGTGGAGGAGCATAGGCCGCACACCAGTATTCTGTACTAAAATGGTTCATTATTACAAATATGGAACGGATTTTGAATGTTCTTATGCTCTTATTAGTTGAAACATATTTTGTTACGACAACCATTTTGAACCCGGTCATATTTTACACTTGATTGTGTTAAGGCGATTCTGGAAAATTCTCGCAATAGACATGACAAGCTCAGGAAACATAAAGAAGCATTTAATCCAATCAGCGTTTGATTAGACGTTTTGCCAGAAACATTATGAAAGTGAATAGTCACATGTAAAGGTTCTAATTAATTGGTTGCTACATTGCTACTATGTTTAGTAGTATTCTAGAATTTTCAGAAAAACCCAAGGAATTCTAAAATACTATAAAAACCCTATATTTTTACTGTACATAAACGAACCTTTAGAGTAAAATGCTTTACGTATATTTTGCGTCTTTTATCTCCTGTTCAAGTCAATGTGTAGATTTAGCTTGTGAGTTACGAGATTAGCTTAGGATCCGAATACATAGTTCAATTAGTAAGACTTATCAGATTGCTTTACAATTGACTGTTATTATTGTTTCATCCCTTTGAATAAACACATTATATAGATTTAAATATTCATAAAAATATTTTCGAGTAACCAAGATAGTTTTTTTGTGTGTGACTTAGATGAAACCTTAGGTATGTTATTGTATTGAATGTAACTGTTATTCTAATGAATCTGATTGTTAATTTATGTTTTATTAGTTGACATCATTAGTCAATGGAAGCTAGACCACAATGGAAAATTATTAAAATTACTATAATATCCACAGAAACTCTTCTGATATTAATTAACATATGCTCACTAGTGACTGGATTCAAGAGGTAACTCTTGTAGTTCTAGTGAGAAGCAATGACTAATGGAGTTCAACCAGGTCTGTTGTGAGATATCAACTAATTGAAGACAATGGTGAATGTGTTGCTCAATTTCATAGATCGGTTGAAGTTAGACATTAACACCGTTGGATGCCGGTTAGCTTAGTTGTGTAGAGATTAAGTGCTCGCGTGCGAGACTGATAGGTTTGGGTTGGAATCTCACTAGGCGGTTTCGTGGACGTGCACTGCTGATGAGACCACAATAGGACGAAACGACTATCCAGTTCTTCCAAGTTTTCCATGGTGGTCTAGCTTCAATTGATTCCATAATCTCAGTATAAACCTAAGTTTAAGAAACATACAAAAAAGAAAAATTCATTGTTTCTAAACTTACTCTTCAAATGCAACTGTAGGTTGACTAAATCTACTACTACTACTACTACTGCTACTATTAATACTATCTATTTCATTGATTGAATCCGGTATACTCATTTGTTTCAATGATAATTCATTGTTATCTGTTTGCCATTTACAATCGAGAATATTTTTAATAGTTTCAGTCCAATTCTGATATTGTTGCCAAAACTTTTTATTATATACTTCAAATTCATTAGTAATTCTATTTGGATGATCTAATCTTACTGTTAAATGATTCTTTGAATTTTCATCATTTATAGTATTTGATTGAATAAATTGGATGAAATCTATATTTCTTACAAGTTTAGTTAAGAGTTGTATGATCCCATTTTCACCTTGTAATTGAATTCGACGATTAGAGATCATATTTTTGAGATCCTAAAGTATGAAAAGCGTGGAAATGAGGTAATACTGTGATGAATAAGATAGACGAATGGGAACAATTGAATGTATTCGATAGGAAGATTATAAACTATCTCACTAAAATCTAACAATCATCCAGTAAACATTTACTTAGTATTGTTTGTTTAGGTCTTCCCATTGATGTTTTTAGGACTGCAAATGGTCAGTCTCTAATTGGCATATGTGCACACTGTACGTATTGCCTCGATATAGCCTTAATTCACAAGCATGGTTTGAAGCGAAAGGTACTGGGTTCAAGTCCCAGAGTGAACATCAACTCTGAGATGCAGGTACATCCGGCTGACGAGTCTCAAATAGGGCGAAACGCGCGTCAAACTGGATTACACTGCTACCCACTATCCATATTTGCTTACCATCCAGTAAACAGTTCATTTGCAAACTATCAATCAATTGTCTCAATCTTGACCATCCTTTCTTCAAATATCAGTTTATCGTCTCGGATTATTATTATTCATGTATTTTCATACTAATTGCGTTTCGTTTCTGTCCTTTCCTTATTGATCTACTACTGAAATACATTCAACGTCCGACCATCAATATATACTACTTATGTGGATATAAGTAACCCACACCACAATACTGTAACTAAATGTGTATTTTATGATCAAATTTCCTTTTAAACAGTCTTATATATGTATATTGAGTAACTTAAATTCATCAATCAAAGCTGCTTTCTAGTACAATAACAGAGAATAGAGGATGTATATAGACTGACTTTATCATATTACGGATCATTTCAAAGAAGGAATGATAAACAGCCATTTATAGATTGCGTTTGAATATCATCACTTAATTACATACATACAATCCCTCCTAAAAATTACATATCTATATGTATGTATGACGGCTCGTGTCTAACCTGAAAGTAATTTGAATGCTGGTGGAATGCAGTGCATAATCATAGAGAGTTATAGAAGGTAACAACAGAAAAATTGAGTCAGATCAACAACCACATAGATTGAAATTACATTTAATAATGGAAGAAATCGACAACACAAGAGTGAGAGAAGCGAAATCATCTAAACCAAATGAGGTTATCAGTTGTAATTCGCGCCAGACCTCTGTCTGCTTTCTGACTGGTTCACTTTTATGAACATTGGAGTGGAGGTCAGTGCCATGTAATTTTCCACATTCACGAGATCAGACGCTGTCAGTTGATCTATTTATGCAAATGATGATCGCTGTTTTTGTTCATCTTGTAAGATTTAGTATTATTTCTCTCCATCACTATCCGATTATGATACTGTCAACTTCAAGTTCTCTGACGAGTTTCAATTTTTCATGACATAACTCTTCGGAAAACGCTATTGTTGGAAACTAAATCAGATTACTCTATGTAGAAACTGATCACAACGTCGTACCTACGTACCAATCGGAGACCACTACTACCATCTGCAATCGTGCTTGGATGATGAAACATCTAGACGGGCAACAGCCATGAACCCGTGGCAGTCAGTCGATCAGCCCATAACTGGGAGATTATGGACTAGTGGTTTCCTGTGTCAGAGGACACTGAACAAAAGCTATACAATTCCTTACCACTACCAACTGCCAAACGAGGATCTGGCCGAATATTTTCATTCATTACAGCAGATAGCTGTGTAAGTTGAAGATGTCACATATATTTGGATTTTGACAACGGTTTAACCAATGACACCTACTAATGAATCCTACGCATCTAGTGAAATCACTAGTCAGAAGCGAGGAGGATCGAAGATATATTTGATAAGTTATCAATATATTGAGAAGTGAAAGATCTAAACCAAGTAGTGTGGTTGCAGAAGTTGAGCACGGCGTTTCCACTCGTGATCTGGTGCGGATGCATGACCGAGCACTTTCAGCTAAATGAGTCCATTAAAACTAATGTGGTCAGCATCAAATATCGAAGAATTACAGAGCTAGGGGATTTATTTATTGTTACAGAGTGTTCTTATTACTAAACTCATTATAACATGTTGATAACTAAACATTTTTAGTACCTCACAATGATGGATTCAAGATTTGGCATTTACCTTAAGACATCCTATATCACATATTATAATAAAGTGTAGTTTTATGAATAAGGAATGATATAGTTGCACTCTTGCTGTAAATTAAACTGAGCAAAACAAACATTAAGCTACCGTTGATAAATGATTTCAGTTCCAAGGAAGTGGAGGATAGATTCTGACTAGTGGTAGTGCTTGTTTCTCATTTTGATACATTTCTTTACTATGTATGTGTAAATTATGGACATAAAAATGGATACACATATACTATTTATTATTTATTTATTTAAACACATATATATTGGTACAAAAGGGCACCAGGTACATATGCGCCACACTATTTGTGTGTGTGGGCTGTGATACTGCCCGGGTGCCCAAACCGAAGCAGGTGGTTTTCTTAGGGGGCCACACCCCGAGCCTTTGACCAAAAGGTCTGATCCACAAGGCAGTGGAGCATCGTGAGGAGATGCAGTCCCATGGTAGCCGTTGACCAATGACAGGTTCGTCCGCTATTCGTTCCATCAGAATACTGGAGCCCATGTGCACCATTGGTTTGGAATCAGGGTTTTCCAACTCCCCTAGGTGGACCCTCCGTGTCCACCAACCCGGTTAAAGCGCCGGACATTCGCTTTTCGTCCTTTCACTTTCGTACACATATACAGTAAGCTTTACATTGTGACGTTAAAAAATAATGACCACTAGAAAACGATTCTAGAAGTTATGACACAGAATATTTACATAATTGAGATTATTAATCAATTGAAGCTAGACTGCTATGGAAAAAGGGGTTTTGTGGAGATTTCAGTATTTTCATAGTTGAAAGCGTGAGTCAATTGAAGACATACCACCATGGAAAACCTGGAAGCACTATTTGACGGCCGTTTCGTCCTAATGTGGAACTCCTCAGCAGTGTGCATCCATGACCTCGTCTCTCGAGGTTGGATTGATTGGAGTTAGACATAAACAACATCGGATGCCGGCTTTCTAAGAGGTCTATCGGTTAAGTCCTGGGTCCGAATCTCGAGAGGCGAGGTTGTGGATGCGCACTGCTGAGGCGTCCTACAATAGGACGAAACGGCCATTCAGTGCTCCCAGGTTTTCCATGGTGGTCTAGCTTCAACTGACTCACGCTTTCAACACTATGGAAAACCTGGAAGCACTGTATGGCCGTTTCGTCCTATTGTGGGACTCCTCAACAGTGCTGAAGTGTCTTCCAGATTTCCATGGTGATCTAGCTTCAATGGATTCATTATCTCATTTGTTAAAATAGAAAAGTTATATATATTACTTTTTGTAATTGTATAGTTATTTCTTTTTCATAATTCATAGGATTATCAAGCATTAATTCATTAAAATGAGATGATTGATAAAATAATTCAAACCAATCAATTTGAATTTGATCAAGTTTTTGAAGTTTTTCTTCAATATTTAATACATGTTCACCATTGAATAAATCTAAGCATTCATTACTGACCTTGACAAAGGATAAATTTAGAAAAAAATATGAAATATACTACTTAAATATTCTATAATTTAAAGTAGTAATACTAATGAATATATATGAATAGAATATCAAATATCAGTAGTCTAGAGGTTAAGCGTTCGCGCGTGAGACTGATAAGTCTTAAGTTCGGATCTCGCGAGGCGGGATCGTGGATATGCACTGTTGAGGAGTCTCACTGTGGGAAGAAACGGTCGTCCAGTGCTTTCAAGTTTTTCATGATGATCTAGCTTCATTTGATTTGTGATTAGTTGATTATTGTTACCATAATGATGAAATCAACTGACGAGTTAGGTTTATGTATTTATTTATTTAAGCACATAGATATTGGTACAAATAGTAAACAGATACAAATGCTCTACACAAGTCTCATTTGATTTGTGTGAGGGCTATGTTACTGCCCGGGTGCCTAAATTGAAACAGGTGGTCTTCTTGGGGAGCCACAACCAGAGCCTTCGACCTAAAGGTCTGATCCACAAAGCAGTGGAGCATCGTGAGGAGATGCAGCCCCATGGTAGCCGGTGACCAACAATAGGTTCATACGCCATTTGTTCTATCAGGATCCTGGAGCCCATATGCACCATTGGTTTGGAATCAGATTTTCCAACTCCCTTAGGTGGATCCTCCATATCCTCCAACCTGATTAAAGCGCAGACATTCGCTTTTCGTCCTCTCAATTTCCTGAACAACAGTAATAGCAGTAGAAGGCAGTGAGTCGGATTTCCCTAGTAGTGGTTATATACGTGTGACCATGTGAGAGCATTTCGAGAGAGAGAACTGACTCTCTCTACACTCTAGGCCGTACCAGTGTTTTTGACTCCATGCACACTGGTTCTGCCCAAAAATATTTATTGCACTAAGGTTATTCATGTTCTTTACCTTGAGGAGCCGAATTGAAATGTGTCAGTTGAAGAGCAATAAAAATGAAAGGATGCAACACATCTGTTTACTAGCTGAAATTTATTTGAAATCAAAAACAGATGAAGTCACATTATACCTAAATCTAAAACCATTTAATGTTTAAATTCACTTTGTATTGTTTGTTTGAATCTGCCCATTGATGTTTAGGACTGCAATTGATCAGTATCTCACTTATTTGCATATGTGCATACTGTGTATATTGCCTCGATATAGCCTTAATTCACATACCCTATAAGTCAAGATGGATAGTGGCTAGCAGTGGAATCCAGGACGCGAGTTTCTTCCTATTTGGGACTGGTCAGATGGATGTATCTACATCTCAGAGTTGATATTCACTCTGGGACTCGAACCCAGTCTCAAGTAGGATGAAACACGCTTTGTCCTGGATTCCACTGCTAGTCACTATCCATCTTTGCTTATAAAGCTTGTGAGTTAAGGCTATATCAAGACATTACGCACAGTATGCACAGAATGCCAATAAGAGACTGATCAACTGCAGCCCTAAACATCAATGGAAAGATTCAAATAAACAATACCAAATGAACCTAAACTTCACCTCATTGCACAATCACGAGGCTATCAGGACTCAGTAGTTAAGTAGTTAAGACGATGGCGTTTGAAGCGAATGATACTAAGTTCGAGCCCCAGACTAGACATCATCTCTGAGATGCAGGTGTACATCTGGCGACACGCGCACCCTGTTCTGGATTCCACTGCTAGCCACTATCCATGTTTGCATTTAGTGTTTATTTAAATAACACTAATTATATAATAAATAATATGAAACATTTGAATAGAGAGAAAAGCTTTACTTGAAAACTAGAAAATCATAAAGGATTAACTTCTTACTTTTAATAAATTTTGCAGTAAATCTAATGGACCATCTAAACTGTTCTGTGTATTTATCAATCTGTGAACGAGAAATACAAAAAAAAATAGATTGTTTGCGTGAAATTGTAAATAAACGTGGAACAATGAAACCATGTTGATTGAATCAAAAAATAAAACTATGAACGACTGTTTAGCATGTATATATACTCCATTGAAGTGATTATTAAAACATACCTCCGAGTGCTCTGGTACGGCCGAGAGTGACAACAGTCAGTTCCCCATCTCATAATGCTCTCATATGGTTACACATATGCAACCACTACCAGGGAAATCCTACTCACTGCCTTCTTGTGATGGGGGTGTTGTTTACGAGATGAAGAGGATGAAAAGCGAATGTCCTGCTCTTCAACCGGGTTGGTGCACACGGAAAGTTCACCTAGGTGAGTCGGAAAACCCTGATTCCAAATCAATGGTGCACATTGGCTCTAGTATTCTGAGGGAACAAATAGCGTATGAATCAATCTTTGGTCACCGGCTACCATGGGACTGCATCTCTTGACGCTGCTCTACTGCATTGTAGATTAGACCTTTACATCAAAGGCTCCGAGTGTGACTTCCCACGGAAACTACCTGCCTTGGTTTGGGCATCCGGACAGTATATCAGCCCTTGAGTTCTAGTGGGAAGCAGTGACTAGAGGAGTTCAACTAAGTCTGTTGTAGAGATATCAACTCACCGAAGACAACTGGTGAACCGTTGCTCAAACTTCGTGGATTAGATGAAGTTAGACATTAACACTGTTGGATGCCGGCTTTCTCAGTGGTCTATCGGTTAATTGCTCTGGTGCGAGACTAATAGGTCCTGAATTCGAATCTCGCGAGTGCGGGATTGTGGATGCGCACTGTCACTGAGGAGTCCCATAATAGAACAGAACGACCGTCCAGTGCTTCCAGGTTTCCATGGTGATCTATCTTCAATTGACTCATGATTTCAACTATGAAAATTCCTTCAATTGTTTGATCTTGTCAAGATCGGTTAAATCAGTTTAAAGATTTGATCATAACAAACATAAGATCATCAAAATATATTATAACAATATCTAACCTGTCATGTTTAAAATAGACATCTAAACTCTTTAACATTGAATCTAGCTTTTCCAAATATTCTTTACATTCATCATTTTGAATATAAAGATCCTTTTCCATAGATTCATAAAGTATATACCAATCCTTCAAGATGACTTTGTCAATTTGATTCAGTATGGTTAGATCGTATAATTTAAAAATGTCTATTAACCATTTACCAATAAATCCCCAAATTTCAATCGTTTGTTGTAAATTAAAACAAACAGTGGCTAAATTTGACACATTGGACTGTTCAATATTTGATAATTGATTATAAACCTATAAAGGACAGTAAATTGTAATGGTCATTTCAAAAATTAACAAGTAAGAAAAACAAAAACAAAACAAGATTATTCACTTAGTATTGTTTTGTTTGAATCTTCTCATTGATATTTTAGGACTGTAACTGGTCAGTCCTGGTCAGTCAGGACTCAGTGACCGAGTGGATAACGCAATTGCGTTTGAAGTGAAAGGTACTCGGTTCGAGTCCCGGAGTGAACATCAACTCTGAGATTCAGGTACATCAAGCTGATGAGTCCCAGATAAGACGAAACGCGTGTCTAACTGGATTTCACTGCTAGCCACTATCCATCTTTGCTTACAAAACAAGATTATGTATTTTTCCGTTGTTATGCAATCGTAGTAAGTGAAATCCCTGAAGGGAAGTGGAGAAGAGGAAGGTGAAAGAACAAACAATTGAAGAATATATGGAATTCAAAACAACCGTTAACTAATTTCAAAGTGAGAATCTTTAATACGAACGTTAAGATAATCAGTCCTACTGTAAGGATCTGAAACGTGGAGAACTATTACATTCATCGTCAAGAAGGTACAAGTATTTATAAATAGTTGTTAACGCAAAATCCTCAACATTCACTGACCGGATACTATCAGCAACAGCGTTTTATTGGAGAGAACAAACCAGCTTCGCCAGTCTATTAATTACTGCCTCCCATATTCACAGCCAAATTTGGCTAAATCTTGTACAAAAGTTGTTTCTTATTTTATGGTACGATGTGATCTGTTTGATTGGTATGTAAACTCAGTATGTTTGAAATATAATGATTCATATCGCAGAGGCTGTTATTGGTGTTCTGGACTTAACTGGCTGAGCTAAGCAGAAAGCAGGACTGATAAGTACTCTAGACTGCTCGTACGGTTTCCGGGTGTCATTTAGTCCGATCAATAATTCACTGCTCTCTAATTGGCTGTATTATCATGTCATATGTTAAGATGGCATACACTCGGCCATAAGTTATAACAATGTGTCCTGGTTAGAATGTTTCTGAATTGTATTTTAGATCCTATTCCTACATAAAGTCTTTTTTATTGCTAGTAAAATATTTAGGGTGATTGAATATCTTATTTCATATATTAATTTAAGTACTCATTAACTGACATGTAAGTGATTTTAAGAATTGAGTGATTTTATGGATTGGATGCCGGCCAGCTCAGTGGTCTAGTGGTTAAGTGCTCACGCGCGAGACTGGTAGGTCCTGGGTTCGAATCTCGAGAGGAGGGATCGTGGATGCGCTTTGTTGAGGAGTTCCACAATAGGATGAGTTGGCCGTCCAGTGCTTCCAGGTTTCAAATGGTAGTCTAACATCAATTGATTCATGATCTCAACTATAAAATTAAATGATTATCAGTAGTTACGTAATCGACAAAGGAAGTGACATTCTAAACTTATTCAACGTTAGTAAATTAAGTATAATAAGTTCATAGTTTAAATCATGAATCAATTGAAGCCCGACCACCAAGGAAAACCTGGAAGCACTGGATGGCCGTTTCGTCCTATTGTAGTACTTCTCAACAGTGCGCATCCACGACCTCGCCTCGTGAGATTCGAAACGGTCGTCCAGTGCTTCCAGGTTTTCCATGGTGGTCTAGCTTCAATTGATTCATGCTTTCAACGATGCAAATACTTAATCTCCACAAAAAACCCCTTCTGATTATAAGTTCGATGAACCAAAAAAACAAAACAATAACTTACATGATAATTAAGAACTTTCAATAACATATTCCATAATTTATAATCATTTTTCATTATATCTAATCTATCCTTAGAATGATTCCTTTGATTTGTATAATATTGTTTAAATTCATTTAAGAAATATTCTTTCATTGATACTTCACTTAATTTAGATTTGAGCTGAAAGGGAAAACATTTTATTAATATAGTTTAGCTACTATCAAACAAAATAAGTAGTTCATACCTTAATTTCCATTGCTTTTTGTCCAATTGCATAGGCTTCATTAGTTTCAGTTATGATTTTCATTCTCCTTTATATTAGAATAATAATAATAAGAATTTTAAAAAGGTATATTGAAATAACATTCATTCAATTTAAAGTGATTGCACAAGTAAATGACTATGAAGATTCAATAGCCTAAGTGGATGACATAATGCAGTTTGAAGCGAATTGTACTGGGTTCCAATCCTGGGTAAACATCAACTTTGAGATGCAGGTGTACATCCAGTTGATGAGTTCAAAATAGCAATAAACAGATATCCAACTGGATTCTACTGCTATCCACTATCTACCTTTTCTTATAAAGCTTGTGACTTCAGGCAGTATCTAGGCAGTCCGCACACGATGAACATGTACCAACAAGAGAGAGACTGATCAACTGAAGTCCTAAATAACAATGGGAAGATTCAAGTAAACAACACCAAGTGGATTTAAACTTCACCCCATTACACAGGCAGGTGGCTATGAGGACTCAGTAGTTAAGCGGATGACATAATGGCGTTTGAAGTGAACTGTACTGGGTTCGAATCCTGGAGTGAACATAAACTCTGATATGCAGGTTTACATCCGACTGACGAGCCCCAAATAGGACGAAACACGCATCCAGTTGGATTCCACTTCTAGTCACTATCCATCTTTCCTTAAAAATCTCACTCAATTTGTTTCATTTTACTATAGTTAACTTACCGAAAAATATTCATCGTTTCATTAACATACTTTTCATTCAAGTGTAAAGCTTCTTGACATAGTATTTCTTGACAGAATAATTCGGTAAATATACTATAAAGGTAATTCCATTGAATTAATATTTCAATATTTACTTTGAGAATTTGATTGGTAATGATTCAATAAATTTTTTATAAATCATTCTAATATCAGCTAAAAGTTTACCACGTTCATAACATTGAACAGTTTCCTGAAGAAAAAAATAAATTTGAGTGAAATATGATTAGTAATATCAATTCATTCATTGTAATTCAATTATCTTAGCCTTATCAGAAGAGGGTTTCGTGGAGATTTTAGTAATTGTTATATGGTTGAGATTTTGAATCAATTGAAGCTAGACCACCAAGGAAAACCTAGAAGTACTGGACGGCCGTTTCGTCCTATTGTGCGACTCGTCAGCAGTGCACATTCCACGAAACCTCCTTCTGATAATGATCAAATGCTCATTAGTGACTGGCTCTACGAGGTAATTATTGGAATTCTAGGTGAAAAGTCGTGACCAGTGGAGCTAATCCATGTCAGGCAGAGAGAGGTATCTACCTCGGTACAATGGAAATTGGTGGCGCAATTTCGTGAATTGGTTGAGGTTAAACATTAACACCGTTGGATGCTCAATGGTCTATAGGTTAAGTGCTCCGGCGCGAGACTAGTAGGTCCTGGGTTCGAATCTCGAGAGGCGGGATCGTGGATGCGCACTACTGAGGAGTCTCATAATAGGACGAGTTGGCCGTCCAGTGCTTTCAGGTTTTCCATGGTGGTCTAGCTTCAATTGACTCATGATCTCAAATGTATCAAATATCTTAGCCTTATTTGATAAGTTAATAAGAATGATCAATATCTTTATGACAAAATTGGTTAAAAGGAGTCATTTTTAGGTAAACAATCAGTCAATAAATTTTTGAGTAATGGGTACCTTTCAGTTGGTACTTGTACATGGAGTGGATTATGTTGCTAGTAAGTAATTAACTAAATCGGTCATAGCGGTTACAGTACTCGTTTTTTAACCATTAGGTCTTAGGTACAAGGCACGCTCCACCTACTTCACTCTGGGCATCAAGATCGTATGATTAGCTCTTATACAAAATGTGTAGGTCGAAGCCGAATACACAACTATATATGTGATAAGTGTGTTGCATGAAATAAAATGGTTATGAAACTGCCATCATGAGAAAACGAATTTCGCAAGTAGACAACGAAACTAGTAAAGTTATGGCACATAAAACACTAAGTTAATGAAACAAAGCTAAGTAGATGTACCCAAGCAAGCAAACTAAAGTAAAATTAGAACTTTATGTTTTAGTTTGTTACTTCATTAAAAAGCTGATCCATTCTAGTATAGTAATCCTCAACTACATTCACCCAAGACATCACTGGGGACAGTACTGATGACTATCAGTCCTTAAGGTGTGTGCTTAGACTCCAGGCCATTGTGTCTTCGTCCAACGGTTCACGTTTTTAACTTTGAATAACTGACGATAAGGTATCACAGACTTTCGAAGCCGAGGAAATAGAGAACTTCTGACGTTTTTCAGACTCATCCTGCAGCTTAATCTAGTACTAGCTATGTGTAATTATTCAATAAACTCAGTATTATTTTAGGTATTTAAAATAAACTAATTTCAAAATAAGTTTAAGAAACGTCGTACATTTGCTTAACGATGGGTAGATAAGCCTGGCTATTTATTGATGTTACTGAGATATCATTGAATTGAGTTTTTCTAGTCAGTTTGTGAATCTTGAAACCATGATATGCTTTCCAATCATATTTTAACTAGGCTTTTTTTATTAGAATTACTTTTATGGTTCTATTATGCCCACTTATTCATCATATAGTTTTATGGTATTAAACGCAGACATGTTAAATGAACATAATACATCTGACCAAGCATGTATAACTGTCAGATGCATTAATTCAATTCCGTTGGTTAACTTGTATTCAACTGCCTAATTAATTCAAATGATTTATGTGTGAATCTTTCCAGTATTCCTTTACTTGACTGACCATCTATCTATTAATCATATTGACGGATAAGTACTTATGATACTGAAAAACTGGGACTCTGAACAATTATGATCTATTTCAATAAAATGCATATTAGACTAGTCTAACACTGATTCATTTCACTGGAATAAAATTGATGGTTATCCTATGACCGGTGTTATTTCTATTTTAAAACAACTGCTGATGATTGGAAATGCCAACTGGATGACTATTTACCTCACGCTACATTGTCTTCTCTTGAATGTCTATTCTAGTATCTTATTTGTATATTAACTGCTCAAGATTTCCAATGAAACGGATGTTTTAAAATGCTTCACTGATGAAGAAACAGGTAGACTCTGTCGGAAGTAAATTTAGGGAGCAGTCTGATAAATTAGTGTACATCTAAAACGTTGAATGAACAAACTTGCTAAAATTGATGAAATTTCTATCCGCTCATTTTTTCACTCCTAAAACCAACTATATTCCTTTAAAAATACAAGTGAGACGCTACATATGTTTAAAATTTAAATGATACATCTTAAATTGTAATTTAAAGTACAACATTAAAAAATGTTGAACTCTAACGTCACCTTATCTTTTGTTCTGTAAACGGGTTTGACAATATTACTTTTAGGGTCGTGTGGTTCTGTCGTTTCTAGCTAGGAAAATACTATGTTTGACTAATTATATTGAGTACGGGATGCCATTTTTAAACAACTACTAGTCTTATTTAACGTCTTTATCTTTTATTTCTTGAGCTAACAGGGTGCATTGTGGCTGTAAACCCTATTCTTGCATGTCATTGATACAAACATGTTCATCTTTAAGTTGAGCCTCCTATCTCTTACGTATTTGCATACGCTTAAAGATGTTTTAAGACGTTTGTGAACAAAATGTTCCGAGATCTAGTTTGAAAATCTAAAGTATACTGATAGTTGGCATTTAACTACAAAAAAATTACTGATAAGGAAATCGGAGATTCTTCAAAGCACACTTCATCTCAGCAATCCTTTAATTACATGCTTCTAATCACCAGAGAGCATTTTTAAAACACATTTTACATTTTTTGTACACTTTAACTCCGAATAAAACCTTGTACAAGGTACTCCCAAATCAAAAGGTGCAACTCAAAGTAATAAGAACATTTTACTATTGTTCACATTTGGTTATATAACTTAAACTTTGAGACAATAAACTTATGTACTAAATCTTACTTGAAAAATAATATTTTTAAGATAATTGTGGTAGTATCTATTTTCTTCATCTATGCTTCTTAAAAAAATCATGGTGAAGTTTGTTGAGTTGCGATTGTTATCGTGCGGAAGACAAACGTCCAAGGGCAGTTCTCTCAATTTTACAGCCTCACTATCTTTACAAGAAGTAGGCAATCTGAAAAATATTTAATCGAATGTCTTACAGCTTTGGAAGCATTATTATTTGCCCTGACGTATCCTTGCAAAACACTGTGAACTGACTGGGAAGTAAGAATTTTAAGTATACTTACTTGTCCTCAAAGTGGATCGCATTAAACACGTCAAACTTAACCATGGAAAAAGATCTGTGACTTAAACCTTCCGTCGTGAGCCTGTTCAATGCATGCTTTAAGAATTCAAATAAGTTGTACTACTTCTACCTCATGAAAACACATTGGAACAATTATGCACTGGCCGCTAAATGATATATAATTTAAGCTGAAATAAAATACCCTGAAACGGAGTTCCTTAATAAATTTTCTAGTAAATATTTGAATCTCTTTCTATTCCTTTGAAAGCTCCATAGAGGCCAAGTCATATTGCCCGGGGTTTACTTATGACCTTTATATCTAAGTAACTAGAACATACTTAGGATAAATAATTTATACGTCTAAACAATCACGATCCTGTGTTTTATCAGATCATTAGAACCCTATGCGTAAATTTTTCTGCTAATCGTTACAATGTTGAAAATGTTATCTTAAGATAAATAATGAAATACTAGAGGATTAAGTATTATGTCGTGTTTCAGTGAAATGTAGACTTGTGGTTCACTTTGTCGTTGTAGTGAGACACACACACGGTGAAAAATGGCATTGTACGTTTCCTCGCGCAAGTAACATGTTATGGGCATCTTGTATTTGATAATTCGCGGATTTATGTTAAACTTTCGCTATTTTTTTTTAGCTTACGTGAATTTGAACACCTTGGCTCATACTCTATGGCGGATAACTGTTATTTGTATAAGGACTTAGAATCTAGTAAGTCAACTAAAAACGACTTAAACTATAATTTCATTACTAAATCAGTTCGCATCGGCGTATATTTAGATACGCTCCAGTACGCATTAATATGAAACAGTCTTCCCTCTGAAATTCACACGGCAGATAAATTACATAAGTTTGTAAGACTTATTGATCAAGCCCTCACTTGCACGGATCTAGCACAAACGAACACATCGGCGTCACATGTATACATTATAAACTCTCTACATATGTAGACTAAATTGCCTTATTTCTCTACGTTGTAGTTGTATTAGATACTTGAATTAAACATGCAACTCACCGGACCTATCAATACTCGGTCGCTAAGACACGCTCACTAATACCCTAAAAGGTTAAAAGAACTGCACAATCGCCTGTTTACTGCCAGTGTTCTTATATCTATGGAACCTGTCACCCATCAACCGGTTAGGATAGAAAAAAATAACACCAGCACGAATTTAGTGTGAGTTCCTTCTTGTCTATTCTTTATCAGCTTTTTAACCTCTTTTACATTATGTCGCCTTGTCATCGATATTATTTTACCACTCGTTACCTCATTTGTAACTAATATATTTCTCCACTTTTCCGCCTACTTAGGTAATCAACTATCCTACATTACACCGCACTTAATGCCTATACTCTGATTGAAGACCTATACTTCACACTATAGTCATTTAAAGCATTGCATTGAAGCCTTACCCACAGCCCATAATTTGTAACTGTCTAATAAGCTTGCAAAGTGATACTTATAGAAATAGTGTTTTCCAACAGGATGTGAAATATAGAGCTTTGTGTGAGGTAAGATATATATCCAAAAAAAGCTTAAGTGAGCCTAACATAGCAAAATGAGGGAGGGTAGAGTTACTGACCAGCAAGCAATGATGGTGAGGGCATTGACTGTAATCCATCCATATTTGTGGGGCAGATATTTCGTCTGTATCAGGCTCTTTATGATTGAGAACAATTCAATCAATCCGCGATGCTGAGATTGCTCTCCTACGTTCATCATTCAAACTTATGTTTGTAAATTTATGCAGGATTAGCTATTCTACTAAGACAACTTATAACACGCTAATTCGGACTTTTACATTTAAACCGTGTGGCAGGCATCGAATGGAAAAAAAGAAAGGAAAAACAGAGTAATGGATATAGTTATTAGTTTTCTTAACACTTTACTCTCTATATGCACTCTCTGTTCTAATGAACAGCCTTCTTTATTCCAACATTGACTTCCCTTCCTGCATTTGAAATTACTCCGCCCTGATAAATATGACATCTCATTGTTCTTTATTACTGCCTTCTTTCATCTGGAGCCCCTGATCACATTTCACTCTGGCAACAAGACCTAGTATGAATATAATCTAATAGTTTATCATTACATTGTCTGTTCCACCGCTAAAGATTAAGTATTGTTTATCGTTCATATCCGAATGTCTTGCTTCTACTCGGTTTCTCTTTTTTCAGAATCTTGATCTGAGCGCAAAGTTGATGAACTTCTGACATCATGAACAAGCCTGACGTACGCGTTTTATCAAGGTCATTGTCCACACCAAGCGCTCCACAAGTCTACTTTATAACAATGACAAACTTTAAAAGTTGCCTTGCACAAATACTTGGCACGACCAAAATCCTAACACAAATTTGCGGTGATTGGATCTGGTATGTAACGTGGACCGAATGTCTCTGGAAAATATTTTGAAGACTACAAAGTATATCTGAACGAATGAACTGATATTCACTTTTATAGATTATATTTACTGGGCAACAGTGTTTGGGATACATACTGTGGAACAGTAAATGGTGTAGCTTGTAGAACATGTTTGTAAAAATGGCGTGTACCTGCCCTGGCAGAAATATATAATGTCATTGTATATGTATGTGTGCAAGAACAGGTTGGTGGTCATTTAGTCTTGGAATCAAAAACACTGAGGGGTGGGGGACTTAATAATTGGGTGAAGCTCGCAGAGAGGTATGATAAGTTGTTTGATAATTGTAAAGGCAATGAATGGTTTAATGATGTAATGGTATGTATGTTGTCGAGTGAATGCCGAGCTACTGCACTGTTAAGAGCCCTTGCTCCTCGCAGTCTCAATGTCTTTTGAACATGCTCGAAAATGCGAACATATACTGTTCCCTCGGTTCATCCTATGTATATGCTCGAGCACGCGCAAGTAAATTGGCAAATGCATTTGGAGACACTGAGAAAATAGGACCTGTTGATTTTAGTATGTTTGGGCAAGCAGTTCGTTTCCCATCTTTTTGATGATGGATAGGTCACTTTTAACGTGAAATTTATCGCGTGATTAATTATTCCAGTTGTTTCACCTCTTCTGAAGCGTAAGTATAAGAAGCAAGTTTTGTAATGATTTGTAATAAGAGCAATCTTTCTTGACGCACGCTTTTAGAACGGGAAGTTTAGTCCTAACGTGATTTGCATTTCTCAAACTTTTGCTGTGTTCTCACGCAACAAAAGTACCATTTCTGATCCAAAAAATCTATTCTGAACTAAACGTTCGGTAGATTACTTTTTTTAGTTTCACTCAACTTAATGGTTAACTGTGGTTTTGCCTCAGCTCACTATCGGTTTTTTTAGTTTTCACGCAAAGGCTGGTTTTTAGCTTATCGTAACCCGTTTTTATCCACTTTTTTCCGTTTATGTTTTCCGTGTTTATTTTAACGGTCCTGGACTTACTGCTTGTATTTATAAGACAGTTTATATCATCAGTCATGTGAAATTCATGCAAAAGACCTGGTTTCCGTTTTGCTGTTACATCTGGCATGTGACAGCTGCAAAGGTTGGTTTAACGAAGCGTGCACGGATCTAAAAGCAACAGCTTATAGCAGGCTCAGCAAGTATGATCGTAGGTAGGCTTGTGTTACGTGCAACACTGATACTGCAGTTATTCTGGGTACCATCATTACCCTACTAACAGGTCTGAGGGACAAGTTGTCTAAAAACTTGGCAAATGACAGTAACACAACAGATAACAAAACAGGAATCCATGGTGCAAACAAGAAAAGGGATATCGACAGGTCGACTATCAAAGATGCAGGTAAAAGCACGAGTGATGACATACTGAAACTCAGCACCATCTTAACGTGGACGGTCATCAACTCCCTCAGTAAACTTGGGTCTCCCAGGGAAGAGTCCTTGAATGAAACAGTGGTTCCCAAAAACCCTGTGGGTGGTCAGATACACGTTAACAGGGGCAAAAAGGACCAAGCGTCACCGCCTAAGCTGAACATCCCAAAAACTTTGCAAACCAAAAGATGAAATAGCAAAAGAGGACAAAACAAATATCATCTACAAGATAGATTGTACCAACTGCAACAAACACTATATTGGACAAAGCGGACGCCCCCTGCATCTTCGCCTACATGAACACCAATTAGCAGTCAAACGCCACGACATTTCTTCACTCATATCAATACATGTGAACAACTACGGACATACATTGGACTGGGAAAATGTGCAGATTTTGGACAGAGGCAATTCCAAAAATACCAGAGAATTTGTAGAAGTTTGGCACTCAGGTCAATCAGCAATAAACAAACATACTGAAATCAATCCAATCTATCAACCAATCAAGAAAATTATGCAGGAACATAGGAACGAAAATCAAACCAATAGGAGATACAACCAAAACAAAGAAATAAACAATGACAGATTTAAGGTCAATAAGAACCAATCAACATCGAGGTGCAGAGGACAAGCTGTGAATCACATGTGGAGAAATTCGAACACGTCACTCATACCCGAAGTTTGTGCTGATGTTGTCGTTCGGAAGGACGATGAAAGCTCCACGACCAAACCATCCAGCTCAGAGAACAAACCAAACATGAACGCCGCGAGTTTGCCAAACAAAATGGATGAGCTATGTCATCTTAGCAACGCTAATGATGCTCATCTGATAGGAATATCCGAAACTTGGATATCGTTTCAGTTTACGGACCAGGAGTTAGCAGTACCTGGAATTTGTTTATTTCGCAACGACAGAAAAATTGGATTGGGGGGTGGCATTATACATACGATCATGTCTGGAGGCGCACCAACTTCACAACCAAGAGTTTCTCAAATTTGATGAATCCATATGGTGCTCAATAAGATTGTCTACCACCTCAAAGTATCTAGTCTGTGTCATCTACAGGAAGCCCACTACTGACATCGAATATGACAGTCGTTCGCTGGATCGTTTAACCCGCCCTACGCGTCTTGGATTCTCACATATCCTGATTTTAGGGGACTTCAATCTTCCTAGAATCAACTTCGTGGAACATACCTACACGGGAGGTGACAACTCTACTGAAGTTCGGTTCTTCAACCTCATTAATGATCTTGGATTATTCGAAAATGTGAAGTCGGCAACTCGTTGGAGAAATATTCAGGCGGCGTCGCGCTTAGACTGGATATTCACAAATGAAGAATTCCTAGTCGACGAACTCTCAATTTTGTCAGCAAAACTGAGCTAAGATATCCCGCCGACAACAGACGCTGGAGTTTCAAACGGTTGAAAGTGCTAGCTCTACATGACTATCTGTAACAGGTGGATTGGGATGTTCACCTTCAACTTGAAGTGGATGCTCATTGGAATTTCTTACTGCACACGCCTTTATGTGCTACTAAGCTTTCAGTTCCTCAAACGGTCCCAAAATGTTACAAACAACCTGTAATCATCAAGAACCGCACTCGTCGTTCGCTAAGCCGAAAAATGCACTCTTGGGCCGAATATAAACGAACTGATAACAAGGGCGCCTACAGGCAATACAAATATATAGGGAATGTATGCACAAAGGCAATTGAGAAGTCAGACTTCAGTACCAGACCAAGCTTATCGATAAATTTGTCTCCAATCGGAATAGCTTATTCCGTTACTCAGCTCCTCTTCGACAAAGCAAAACTGGAGTTTCCCAACTGCTAGGTACTAATGGTCAGACCAATAATGACGATGATGCTGCCAACCATTTGGCTGAACAATACTCTCAGACATTTCAATCAACCCACATCAACTATACTGATGAAAGCCTCACCTTCACCTGCACAGGACTTTCCAAAGTGAATCTGAGTGCTGACCTGGTGCTCCGTAAACTGTAGCACATAAGAAAAGACATTTCTCCCTGTCCGGATATGGTTTATTCTGCTATACTGAGGGAAGGAGCTTCAATCCTGGCAACATCACTTAGCGTGATTTTTTCACACTCTTTAAGCCGAGGTAAAGTGCCGGAAATTTGGAAGCCGGTTCACATCACCCCAATTTTCAAAAGACGTCGACTCAATGAACCCTTAAGCTACCGACCAGTGACCCTTCTGTCCATACCTTCTAAAATTATGGAGTCTCTAATATACGAATGTCCTAGCGGAGTCCCCAAGGACTCAATACCAGGACGTCTTCTCTTCTTGATTTACATTGACAAACTTCCTTAACAAGTTTCATCTGACTTATAACTTTTTGCTGATGATGTGAAATTTTGGAGAGAGGTACGTAACCAAAAGGATATATTAGCACTTCAGGAGGATCTAACTCGACTTCAAAGTTGGGCAGACGACGGCGAACTTACCTTCAACACTTAAAAGTGTAAAGTAGTCCATCTGCGACATGTTGCAGATTATAGGTACAACTTAGAAAACTCCTCTCTAGAAGTTTCCCAAGTCGAAAAAGATTTAGGAGTGTTGGTACCCTTTGACTTGAAATCGTACGCTAACTGTGACAAAAACGCATTTAAAGCAAACTTTGTACTGGTAACATTGAAGCGCATTTTTGGTCAGTTTGATGGTGTAAAATTGCTAAGTAATATTCAACAGTTTTATTCGTCCCCATTTAGAGTATGGAAACATAGTATTTCCTCCCTTCCTCCAAAAGGATAAGGGCACTCTGGAACGTATCCAACGTCGAGTCACGAAGTCAGTTCGGGGACTCAAATTCAAACTTTACGAAGAGCGCCTCCAATCACTTAACTTTTACCCGTTAGAGTACAGGCGTCCTAGAGGTGACCTTATGACTTACAGTATCCTCTGAAACATCTTCAGCTTAGTCATAACACTAACCTAAGAGGTAACACCCAGAAACTGGAGACCCAACATAGCAGAACAGACTGTAGACACAACTTCTACTCCTTAAGAGTTATTAAATGTGGGAATTCGATGCCGACTGAGCTAGTCCAAACGACTTCCGAAGAGTCCTTCAAGAGGAAACTTGACCGTTCAAGGTCGTTGAAACAAAACGGCGGGCGACTTTAAAAGAATCCAACTTTTTTTTACCGTGCTAGAGATGCCGGTTGATGTCTGTTTATCTCTACCACTTATTGACAGGGTGAAGGAACTTAGTAATATTTTCGCTCGTGGAAATCTCCAGGTCTTTGCCATATATGCATATCTATATTTCGTAGGAACTCCATAACTCGGTTGTTCTGGTTGTCGACAATATATTCGGTTATTCAGGTGGTGAAGGCTGGGCTTTACATGCTGTCAACGAAGCTGATGAACCACACTTGTTTGGTTCTATTCGAGAGTTCCTTTCGCCCAACGGGAGATTTCTGGAAGTTTTGTCCAGCAGATTAACCCTTGAATTTCCATCAATCTATCATGATTTTCCACTTTGGCTGTTATCAGTAAACATTTATTTATGTTTGTATTCTGTTTTAGACAGATTCACAAAACTCAGCTTGGTCAGGTGATTGCAAACAGCCACGAACGCCTTTGTCGTTAAGTGAGTTTGTCAGCTTGAAGTTGACTGTTCAGATGCATTTACCTACTATATGTTCGCTTTCATGTGTTATGCATCGTACCCTAAATGGAAACAGGTGAATATACATTTGGCCAATTAATCTCTGCAGGAACTTGCATTATGCGATTTAGAAAACAGTCTATACCGTACCTTATTTGATGATTACTTAGGTTTTTACCTATATACTGATCCAACCACAGTAAATGTAATGGCTTCCAAAATTAACATTTTAAGATCTGGTTCGCAGATACCTGTTTACCAGAAGTAAGTAGTCATTTCTTGCGAATTTCTCAGGAATTATTCCAGTGAGTTTGTTGGGGAGTATATGAACGGATCTACGGATGCTTGCTTTCCCGACTTCCGTTTATTTTGGCAAACAGAGGCAGTATTACAAGTAAAATGTACAATAAATAATTTTCGACCATAGGCCGTTTGCGAATTTCTTCTTTCGTGGAGAACAACTGATAATTCTATTGGGATTACCGATTTACCTAAAAATCCATCTGCTATGATTGCGTTATCTCCCCCATTAAATCATGCTGAGGTTTGTTATTATTATATGTCTTAGGTAAAACAGAGATTTATTTGATGCTTATGATCGTTTTTCAGTTCATGACTTCATGAAGTATAGGCTTGTTAAGTACGTTACTTTTAACTCAACCTATGACGAGTGTGTGCAACAATAAATGAAATAACCGTGTTCCTCAGTCGATATTTAGGCAACTAAACTAAATAACATCCTTAATAGTAATAAATGGACCCATATTGTTATAAATTTGAACTGAAAAAACTGAGTTGGATTCATACTACAATTAAACTTATTCGCATTGAATTCATTTGACACTGGCACAAGGACCAACATCTCCAGAAAACCAAACTTATGTATCCAGAAAAGGTATATCAAGCCCTGATGTTTACCTTGGCCTGCGACTGGATCACCTCTTACCCCCTTTTTATTTTTTTACTACTTCTATCTTAATCTTCATATCCATCATACCCAATTCGCTTGTCGTAATTGCCTTGACAAAATCCCTCTTATTACATATTATATTCACACAACGATATTATTATTATTATCTCAATTGACGATATGGAGTCCTCCTACTATGCATTTTATTCATATAACTTTCTTTGCATGTATGTCGTAGCAGATGCAAACGTTCACCATTTTTTAACATATAACGTTGTCAAATTCATAATTACATGCCTTATTTTGGCCTTTGTAAAATATCACACTGAATATGGACTTATAACTGTAGAGCGTGATGATGAAGTTATTGAAAACAATTGTTCACTCAAATATTCTTCATTTTTAAATAAATATTTCACAAATGTTATTCTAATCCCTAATAGATCTTTTACAGAATAGTTTTATCGTAATTAGTTTGTATTTCATTATTTGTGTTAGCAAACAAATGACATGTTAGCCAATTGCTTGTATTTCGCATCAATACGAGGAGAATTAATCGATGAAACAATTCCACGTTTCTAACAATTTAAGAATCATTTTCATCAAGGTGTCATGCTCTCTTAAATACCCGAGGATGATTTGTTCATTGGGAATAAACATACGTACAGTTAAAGAGTCTGGGATTAGGAACAAATAACTATCTAATGCTTTTCTGTTTTAAATACTTTTCCGGCTTTCTGGTTTTCGCTCATAATATTTTGGGTATTGATGTATCTCAGCATCTCGTGACTATCTATTTATTTATTTAAACACATAAATATTAGTACAAGGAAGCACCAGATACAGGTGCCCAAACTGAAGGTGGCTTTCTTAGGGGGCCACACCCGGAGCCTTTGACCTAAAGGTCTGATCCACAAAGCAGTGGAGCATCGTGATGAGATGCAGTCACATGGTAGCCGGTTACTAACGATTCATTTATACGCCATTTGTTCCGTCAGGATACTGGATCCTTTGTGTACCATTGGTTTGGAATCAGGGTTTACCAACTCCCCTCGGTGGACTCGCCGTGTCCACTAACCCGGTTAAAGTGTCGGACATTCGGTTTTCGTCCTCTCAATTTCGTAAACAAGAGTAATGCCACGAGAAAGCAGTGAGTAGGACTTCCCTGACAGAGGCTATATACGCGTGGTGATGTGAGAGCATTTGTAGGAGAGCAGACTCTCCTCCCTCTCGGCCGTACCAGTTCATTTGGGGGCATCTTGTGACTAGTTGATAATGCTATTAAAGAAAGTAGATTTGTTTAAATTCCTCGGTACATAAAGCAATTTTCCAGCCTGTCCTAAGACACTTCAACTAAATAAATTCCACTGTGCTTTTGATTTAGCTATTCAACTTTGTTCGTCAAGTTTTCTCAGCCTCAATAACTTTTTAAAGAGAAAAGCAAAACTGATCAAACTTTTTTGTTGTTGTATTTTACAGATTAACAGTAGTTTAACATACTTGTAATTTGGATCAGTTAATTTCACTACCATTTTTGTAGTATATTGTTTATCTATGCTTGTATCCATTTTATTATAATCAATATTCTTATTTGATGTTTTCTTTTGGTTTATCAGTTCTCAACTAGACCTACTGTATGTCAAATATTTCTAGTGAGGTGTTTCCTCAAATATTTCTACTTTACATTGTTCAATAATGCAAATTCAAACTGTTTCCAAATATTACAGCAACAGATAATATGGAACAAATTTCTTAATTATCGAAAGTAAGGACAGTCTAGTTAGTAGAGGCATAAGTAGATCATAAATTAGTTGATTTCCTGGTTATTTTTTACTTATTTATGATCATTTTATTAACTAGTGCAATTGGTTTTGTACAAATTAAGATAGTTTATAATCAGAAGGGGTTTTGTGAAGATTTCTGTATTTTTCATAGTTGAAGTCATGAGTAAATTGAAGCTAGATCATCATGAAAAACCTGGAAGCACTGGACGGCCGTTTCGTTTTATTGTGGAACTCCTCAGCAGTGAGCATCCACGATCCCGCCTCGTGAGATTCGAACCCAGGACCTACCAGTCTCGCGCCACAAAACCCCTTCTGATTATAATCATATGCTCACTAGTGACTGACTTGAAGGGATGTTTCCTTGAGTTCTAGTGGGAAGCAGTGACCAGTGGAGTTCAAACCACATCTGTTGTGAGATAACAACTCACTGAAGACAATTAGTGAATGGTTGCCCAAACTTCGTGGATTGGTTGAAATTAGACATTAACACCGTTGGATGCCGGCTCAGTGGTCTATCGGTTAAGTGCTCTGGCGCGAGACTAATAGGTCCTGGGTTCAAATCTCGCGAGTACGGTATCGTGGATGTGCACTGCTGAGGAGTCACATAATAGGACGAGTTGGCCGTCCAGTGCTTTCAGGTTTTCCATGGTGGTCGGGCTTCAATTTACTCATGATTTCAACTATGAAAGATAGTTTATACATTGTCTTAACTTATTGCTATTGGTCTGTACAAGAAGACAAGTTGAACAACAGAACTATTACAGCAGTTGACTCTCATATTCGAATCATATGAATTATTTCGCATAAATAGGGGTCTTCAGTTCGATGAGAAGAGAACTTCTACATAGTTATCTGTACTTGTTAACTTAAGGCACAAGTCACCCGCCAAAAGTTATTGACCAAGTGTATATGTAACTAAGCTGAATCAACATCATTTGGTTTACATGGAACGACTTTGCATATAGTCGCCATTTCAGACCTCGCCCTAAGTATTTTTAAGCGATACTGTTATTAGCACCTACTAAGCACAAAGATGCCTGGTTGTCATTTCGACTAGGCTCGTAATATGGTCTGAGATCCGTAAAAAATTTCCGGAATATATATTTTCATCATTATAACGATGAACACAGTGACTGGAAGCTTGTGTATAAAAAATATGGCCATTTATTTTCTGCTAGTCACTATCAAAGTATATTTGTCAAACTTGATTGTTTAGTTACATTCTTGTCAGTTACCAAAACACATTTATAACTAGTAGCAATCTCTATAGCCAGTAGTTCTAATTTGTCTATTCTTGGGGTGAGACGTATTGTTGTTTATCCACTCTATATTGTTCGTTCATTTTTCAGCAGCTTATTAAGTCCTAGCTATTTCTGTCCGCTATCCATTTGGTTAGGCTTTGAATTTCAAGTCATCATATCATGGATTCAAACTCCGATATATCAGATGTGTCTCATTAGGTAGCATAGTAGATTTTCAACTTATCCTAAACTCAAAATTGTTTTTTCTACAGTTGATCACATTTTGTCTTCTACAGATATTTATACAATAATCAAGGAGTGATAGTGTCGCCAGAATCATCTATACCGCATCACAATATTATGAATCGGTTTTCACGGTTTATTGTATACTGTTTTCAACATTGGCCTTTTGATTTAAGTTTTGAAGTGGTACTTGAGACTTGGCTGTCTAGTATTCAACCTTGGCGTTACGCAGGATCTCCGCAGCTACATACTAATACTCGTTTTTCATCTATATCATCGGATGCACCATTAAATTTAAAAATTGATAATAGTGAGAATTATTCTGAGTGGTAAGATTGTAACATATTATGATTTTAATGTTCATTCATTTATTACATTTTCTGTTTTATTCATGAAACGGATTACAACTGAATGTAATACTTTTAAGTGCATAGGGAAATTATGTTAGACCTGTCAGGTTGATTAGTTCTGAGAATCACATTACTTTTGAAAATTATTCTGTTATCTAACCGAATATCGGAATCTGGGTTTATAAATAATTAAACTTAGAGAATAAAACTATTGTATCTATCAAGTACCATAAAGATTTTGTTTCGTGTTACATATCATGTCCTTTTCCTGCTTCAGTCTGGGCACCTGGGCAGTATCACAGCCCTCACACAAATCAAATGAGATTTGTGAGGCGCATATCTATCTGGTGCTTTTTTGTACCAATATTTATGTGTTTAAATAAATAAATAAATAAATCGTGTCCTTTTACAGTCTTTTTAGACTAACCATTGGTCGACTAAATTCACGACGATCATCGTTACTGTTCAGGAGACATATAATTGCTGAAAAATTCCCATTATATTAAAGCATAATAACATAAACGAAGAATATTCTTTTCAATAATTTGTCATCAGGCTCCAAATTAATTGGGACGAGATCTGATGTCTTATGACTTAAGTCTTCAAATTGCATGCTTATATATATATATATATATAACTGTACTGGTTGATAGTTGATACAGTGAAAAGACATCCCGTCGCTAAACTTCGTGTTTTTAAAGTTACTGTTTAGTTAAATGGAACAATGATTGATCAAAGAAATAATCTTTTATTTATATTACAATAAATTGCATTTTAGGTGCGGCCCCCAAATGCCCTGGTATGGTCGAGTGTGCGGAGAGTCAGCTCTTCTTCACGAAATGCTCTCACATGACCACGTGCACACAACCACTACTAGGGAAGTTCTACCCACTGCCTTCTAGCGGCGGGAGTGTTTACGGAACTGAAAGGACGAAAAGCGAGTGTCTGAGACTTTAACTGAGTTGGTGGATCCACCTAAGAAGAGCGGAAAACCCTGACCCCAAATCAATGGTGCACATGAACTCCACGATCTTAGGGAAACAGAAGGCGTACGAACCTAATGTTTGTCACTGGCTGCCATGGGACTGGATCTTCCAACGTTGCTCTACTGGCTTGTAGATCAGACCTGTAGGTTAAAGGCTCCGGGTGTGATGCTTCCCTATGGGAACCACCTGCTTGAGTTTGGCCACCAGGACAGTATCACAGCCCCTATACAAATTAATGATAACTGTGTGGCCCATAGTATTTTGTGCATCATTGTACCAATATTTGTGTTTAAAGAAATAAATATTTTAGGTGCAACACAAGAATGGTTTTATCTAAAACGGTAATAACTTTGTTAAATCAACAAGTGTAAAAGTACTAACGCGTACAGTTAGAGGGAATTAGTTCGACTGACCAGCTTTATTTTTCTGGCTGTAGGTCAGATAGCAAAAGTCGAATTACCAAATGGATTAGGACCAGCTTTCAGAACAGCCTTCTTTGTTATGATACCTGTCATTCTCTTTGCAATTCAGATATGTACTGAAGCATACTATAGAAAAATTAACACCGTTCAGTATGAAGGTGCAAATTATCGTTGTATACTTTTAATTACTTGTCTGGTTTTGTTCATCCCTCAGGATATCCCTAACACATTTCAAGGCATCTGAGCATCTATTCAGTTTCAATTAATAGATCTCACACAATTTTCACATATTTGGTATGATCAAAATCAGAAGGGGTTTTGTGGAGATTTTAGTATTTTTCATAGTTGAAATCATGAGTCAATTTAAGCTAGACCGGTAGGTCCTGGGTTCGAATCTCGCGAATGCGGGATCGTGGATGCACACTGCTGAGGAGTCCCATAATAGGACGAAACGGTCTTCCAGTGCTTCCAGGTTTTCCCTGGTGGTCTAGCTTCAATTGACTTATGATTTTAACTATGGTATGATTAATTCATAAAAAAATTACTAACACTTTCACTATATAACCGTAAGTTAGTTATGTTTAGTGCAGTAAAAAGTTAACTAATCATATTCTTGGTTGAATTTCATCTATTCCAATTACAGTAATCGTTTTTTCACCTTTAGGTTGACATTTGTTGTCCGTCACTACAGCCTTTATGTTGGTTTATTCTTATTATTTCTACAAAGAGTTACTAAAATTGATTTACATGTATATCGAAATGCTCATATGGTTTATCGTGTAACAAAAGTATTTTCTCAAGATGGATTTAAAATGCTACTACTGAACACTGAAAGTTAGTTATAAATGTTTGTAAGAATTTATTCTGCTTACTTTTATCTAAGACTGTTTAAAACGATATTCATTACAGTTTAAGCAATGATTTACTGAAATATAGATTGCAGTTTTCATTCATATTTACATACAGCATTCTTTGAAGCCATCCAGAATTACGCATAAATAAATAAAATCCGCCATAAAACACTTCAGCGGGCGACAGTTCGACTGGCCTCTATATGCCACGAGTTACCCATTTTCCGCAAACAACCAGAATGGAAGACGGAAATAAGAGCTTTGACTCCGAATATAGTTGAAAAGGCTATGGCTAATCCGAAGACAAAATAACACCAAGCCTAGATTAGTTGGTCTCGGAGGTCTTTGAATACTGGTCCAGTTTTAGCTGTTAGATCGACTGAGGTATTAGCTAGAATCTGGGAACAGGATTTGATCTCGCTTCACTCATCTCCATCTTTGGTCGTTCCACATTTTAAGTAAGGATAGAAATCAGTTCGACCAATAAGTTGTCTAAAAAATTGATCTCAATAGTCATTCGATGGTAAAGTAATGCTCGGAAATTAATCAGGGTGATTTCAGATTTGGACGTGGGTGTGTATATCGAATATTCAATCTTCATGAGGTTTTGAAATATGAGGGTAAGTACCGACGCCAACTCTCTTGACCGAGAGTTTTGTGGAAGCATTTGTCATTAAAGAGCGTACCACAGTGGTACATTAGCCTTGTGCAGGCTTTCTACACAGACACTATCAACCAGGACACGGCTTATCTCGAAGCACCAATAGAAATGTAAGTGGCAAGTGGTGTTCGTCGACGCTACATAGTTACCTCGTTTTTGTTCGGTTTTGTTTTAGATGTTTTTCTAGGAATAACACTTTTCCACATAAATCTACAGGAAGGTGTTCTTGTAACAAAAGGTTCGCAATAAGTCTTATGACATCGTCATAAAATGACGAAATACAATATTTTGATCGTTATAAGGAACAATACAAACATGTTTGTTATGCTCTTCCCTCTTTGTAAAAGGAAAATGTTGCTCTTGAAGGGTTCATGTGTGATGAAATCTCGACAAATATTCAGAAACGCGGTTAACCTTCGCCAAATTGTGCCTTTTATGACATAAGCAACATTCCCGCCTGACAGCCAAAGGCCATATATACACCGTGCAATTGTCCGCTCTGCATTACGTTATGATGATACATGGTCTTTGAAACACGTAGACAGTATAGTTTACTTTGTACATTCATCATGAACTGAACGCGGCGGAACGTACCATTTGTATTAATGAAACTCAACTCGAGTATTCTGGACACTTGACTCGTCACAACAGACAAAATTCATTAAACGTTGTACTAGGGTTCTTAAAGATTGAGTTATTGGGTTATACATAGCATATTCAATAAATACGTCAGTATATCTACTAAGGTTGTTAATTATATACGTAACTAAAAAACAACTCATCGCACAATACTGCATCGTCTTACATTTTGCGTCAGTCTAAATTTCGTGATCATTATTTACCTACCGCTCGATGACTGTTGTACTTTGCTGAAAAGTAGTCTGTCCAAGAAAAACGCGACAATGTACCCTTAATTATCGGCGAGTTCCTCATGCTTAATTTGATTACTATGACAGATTATTCCTAAATCCCACATGTAGTACATAATGCCTATAGTTTATGAAGTGCAAAATGATAAGATGTATGAGATGAAGACTGGAGAATAGGGTTTATAAGAACATCCGAGGATATACTAAAACGTGGAAAGGTTGACAAAAGTGTTCTGTCGCAGTTCAAGAGTATCTTCAAGATGATTGATTTGATGAATATTGAACTTCTTGAAATGAAGAGTTTACCACCCCAGATCCACAGTTTAACGTTGTGTGGAACAGTACGTTCCACTTTGTTCGACGGATAATTAACATACATTCATCGGTAAACAGTTTTGAATGGAAAACGTTGATCACAATCCAGATTATAATTACCTGAACCTGCTTATATTATTCCATATGTACACCAATATCCTAACAGATGCACCTTCATTGATTCGACGAACCTTTAGTTCTCATCCACATAGTCTCTTATTGGTGCACCAACAACCAGTAATATCTTAACACATAACTTCCCATTGCCTTTACGAATCTTGTTTTCAATGTTCAGTCTCTTTCGTCGCCATTGTCACTAATTCATTCCGATGTGTTTGACTACTCATCTTGTGAATTCCATTTTGTTATGGTAATATGGTATGAGAATTCGGATCAACACACATCTGTGCAAGGCTATACATTAATGATGACTGACTGAATCAGCTGTTGCTCAATGGTTAGATCGTCCAACTTTCAGTCGCTAGGTCGCAGGTTTGGATTCCTTTCCATATACCCCAGTTTGGGTACTCATTTAGTGTCACATTTAGAGTGTGGCTTGAATTGAAGTCAAGTATATGAGTCTGTTCCTGGTAGAAAATCAATACTGTAAACAAACTGAAGTTGCTTAATGTAGATCAATGAATTCCACATAAACTGATAGATTGTGTCGTGTCGCTGTATTAGGTGAAGAATGTATCCAAACTTTAAAGTAACTGTCTGCTGCTATTTAGTTGATTATTTTGGCTAACCCTAGCCTGTTACGAAGACAGTCCTGCACATGTAATAAAAGGGATTAAAATATGGGTAATGATTGTTGAGATATTAACTTCAAACAATTAAGTAAGCTTGTTGACTACTTTTTGATGATAACTGCTTATTATCCATTACTAGCTAAAAAGGAATGAGTATGGGTAATCAATGAGCTTGTCCAACTGTCTGCTTACTTATGGAACAGTCTAGGGACAGCCAATAGGCACATAGGGGGGCCTTCTTATTCATCCAACAAGGGAGCTACACGTCGACATTCTAGAATGTTCCTCTAGCGGTGATTGGATGGAATGTCTTCGGCTTTTTCTGGGCTTCTTCAGGGTTCCTTGAGTTTGTTAACGAGCCATCCTTACATAAAACATTGATACCAATCTCTAAACAATAAGATAATCTATGTATATGTATGCGAAGATTCCTTCTTTTCACTGAAAGTAATGAGATCACTATTCTTTCATTATAAACAGAAAGATGATTAGATTAACTATTCTTAAGAAAAATAGTTGAGCGAGAAATAATAAACACTTCAGTAAGAACTGTCTTACAATGAAATGAGTCGCAATTCTTTTGAAAATAACTGACGAATACTCAAACCATTTGTGGACGAAGTTTAATTCAATAAACATAACACTTATTGTAGGTATTAAAGACTCCGCTAGATCTATTAATGTTTTGGAAACTCAATATTGTTATATTCTATACAATATCTTAACCTTTCAACTTATGAGTTTATTCGTGGTAAACACTCATATAAGTATCTGATTTTCAGTGTAATGTTTATCATTCGTTTCGATTTTCACTGATAGAAATTTTATCCGAACAACAACATCAGCACGATGGTACGTTGCCCACTACAATAGCATCTGAATATCAAACAGAACAAAGTGGCCTCTGGAATCCTGTAATAATTAGTACAGTTGTAAGAGTTTTAAATTGTATGATGGTTACAAAAGGAAAGTAAGTTTATAATTTTTGTTAGTCTTTCATATCGGTTAAAGACTATTTGTGTCATATCCAAGCTTAGTTCCATCATCAACCACACTCAGATGGAAACTGCTAGATTTCAGAACTCTCTGGGAGGTTTTCTCTAATTTAAACACAAACATTGGTTCAAGGAGGCACCAAATATATATGCGCCACACAAATTATTTGATTTGTGTGAGAGATGGGATACTGCCCGGGCACTCAATAAATTACTGAAATGGAATCTAGTGTTTGGGAATCTGCCCCGTTCACTCCATTCCTACATAATATTGTAATGACTATGATCGAAAGTTATCCCTGCTCTAGTATATTAATTAACTACATAAGTCATTAATAAATGATATAAGAAACGTAAACTTGGTACAAGAGGAACCAAATATATATGCGCCACACAAATCTCATTTGATTTGTGTGAGGGCTGTGATACTACCAGATGCCCAAACTGAAGTAGGTGGTTTTCTTAGGGGGCCACACTCCGAGCCTTTGACCTAAAGATTTGATCCTTATGGCAGTGGAGCATCATGAGGAGATGCAGTCCCATGGTAGCCAGTGACCAACGATTGATTCATACGCCATTTGTTCCCTCAGGATACTGGAGCCTATGTACACCATTGATTTAGAATGAGGGTTTTCCAATTCCCCTATGTAAACTTCCCGTGTCCACTAACCCGGTTAGAGCGCCGGACATTCGGTTTTCGTCCTCTCAATTTCGTAAACAAGAGTAATGCCACGAGAAGGCAGTGAGTGTTGGACTTCCCTTGTGGAGGCTATATACGTGTGGGAATGTGAGAGCATTTCGAGAGGAAGAGCGGAATCTCCCCACTCTCGGCCGTACCAGGGGGGGGGCAATCAAAAATACTAAAACTATCATTCACAAATAAGTCAGGATGTAAGCTAACGTAATAGATTTTCATGATTACAATCATTCCACGTATATTTGATATCATTCACTTCAATAGTTAAATAAAAAGCTGACTAAAGTATCGTCAGGAGTGATTTGAAGCTTCTGACTATTAATTCAAGATGTTTAGGGAATCTTAAAGTAGGAAAAGGATAGGGTATTTTAATTAAAAGTTAGTTGACGGGTTGTAAGAAAACGCAGGGTTATGAATTATGATCATTCCCACATCGTCGTGATGAAATAATTTATGGACCTTCTAAGAGGCGCAACAAAAGAAAGAAAAACAATGATTAATAGAACATTTAGCGTCAACAAAAGAACAGAAAACCAATACATCTTAAATACTGGCATAAAATTTATTATGTCAGTGATAAAGTTTAATAAGAGTGGTAACAATCGGGATTTTTAGATAACGGATTCTCACCTCAGATGACATTGTTTTCATGGCCTCAGCCACTACTTCGTGAGCTGTTCTGTTCTCAAGAAGTTTAGCAACTTCAAAGTTAAATTGGTGATGTTCCTTGATTCGTTAAGATTTCTCATCGGATGCATCATTTCACATTAAAGTTATTTCAATGCATAAGTGTTCTATGTATTGTTGAAGTAAATTACAAATATATATCACTTACTTACACCTGTTACCCTTCGTGTTGCACAAGCCACCAAGCAGGATTCTCCAACCAGCTCTGTCCTAGACACTACTTTCCAGTATCTGCTAAGTACTATTCGTCCTTTGGATGTATGCTTCTTATTCCTGATGCAATGTTTTCTTTGATCTGGCTCTTTTCCTTTGGCCTTTAGGATTTCAAATTAAGGCTTGCCTCGACGCAATTTGGTGGTTTCGTTGATTCATGTTCTCTTCACCCCCACCTTTTCTCCCTAATTTTCCCATCAGTTGGAATCTGGTTTATTCTCTGCCATAGCAGCTTGTTTCTGAAAGAGTAACAAGCCTTGTTTGATACCAGTCTTCATTCAGAATGGATCTTTGACTTGCACTTTATGCACGATTTCGCAATGTAGTCCGTTATATGATGTTGACGATTTCAGGTACACCATAGTGTCGAAGAAGGTTTCATAGTGTTCTCCTATTCACAGTCAGGGGTGGTAATGCATAGTGACGAGTTCCATTCAATTGATTGTTCAAAGATGAGTCGTATTTTAGTGATTCGGAATGCAGCCTGTTTATCTTGAAATTAAGCATCTACTGAATCTTCCCTCCTGTTCAACAACACTACTGATAGCGGTGTGGTGCCTCTGTAGTTTTAACACTTGTTAAGATCTCTTCTCTTTGGTATCTTGATGAGGTATTTTTCTCTCCAACCTGTCGGTACTTGTTCTTCCTCCCAAATATTCCTGAATAGAATGTGGAGCATGTTTGCAGTTACTCTGATTTGAGTGCATCGGCTGGTATATTGTCAGGTCATGCTGCTTTACCACTCTTGGTTTGTCTGATGGCAATCCTGATTTGTTTGATCGTTGGCGGAGTGAGATCTATAGGGAGGTCTGTGTGTGCTGCTTCTGTAATTAGTGGATTCAATGGAGCTAGTTTATTAAAGAGTTCTTCGAAGTATGTCCCACCCATCTTTTCATCAGTCCTTGATTCTCTGTGATTAACTTACTTCCTTCGTCCTTGATTGTTCGCTCTGGTTTACTATATTTCCCTACTAGTTTCTTCTTCGTGTCATATGGTTGTTTTATATTTCCTTCTCTTACAGCTTTTCCTTCTGTCGTTTCTAGCTCATCCTCGCATCTGTGCTTGCCAGCTCTAATGCTCCTCTTCACTTGTTTGTTTTCTTATTAAGCTTGTGCATTGACTTTCTCTGCTCTTGTTCGACTGTTGTTAATTACTGTCTTCTTGTTCTTCCTTCTTTGAATCCTGTCCAAGATTTCGATAAAATTTCATTCCTTATGATGATGCTTCTTGCGGCCCAGCGCTATCTAGGCACTTTGAAGTTAGTACTTTTTTGATCCCTTCCCGATTGTTTTCCACAGTAGCTTCTTTTAATTTATATATATTAATTTATATATATATATAAAACATAATATTCAATAAAACCTACCTTATCAATTTTGATTGATTATTTCTAGTTTGCAATCTCAATTAATACAAAAGATGGATAAATTTTCATCAGATTCTCAAGGATGGTTTGATAAATTTACTAAATGGTTATGTAGTTTCTTAATATTTGATATGGATAACTCTGATGAGAATGTTAACAAATGTATATTTTATTTAACGGAAGGAATACATTCATTACGTGAATTCTTTGCTATTCAAGAAGTATGTCTTTCATTTAAATGTGATAATCTAACTTGATCTTTTAAATGTTTATTACTTTATTTATTTATTTAAATACATGAATATTGGTACAGAGGGGCACCAGATATATATGCTGTGATACTGCCTAGGTGGCCAAACTGAAACAGGTGGTTTTCTTAGGTGGCCACACCCTGAGCCACAAGGCAGTGGAGCATCGTGAGGAAATGCAATTCCATGGTAGCCGGTGACCAGCGATTGATTCATACGCCATTTTTTCCCTCAGGATACTGGAGCCCATGTACACCATTGGTTTGGAATCAGGATTCTCCAACTCCTCTAGGTGGATCATCCGTGTCCACCGACACGGTTAAAGCGCCGGATATTCGCTTTTCTTCCTTTCTATTTCGTAAACGACACCCCCGCCACGAGAAGGCAATAAGTAGGACTTTCCTGGGAGAGGATATATGCGCGTGGCCATGTGAGAGCATTTGGAGAGTGAGAGCGGACTCTCCCGGCTCTCGGCCGTACCAGGGCATTTGGGGGCTTATATGAAAACAAGTGTTTTGTGATTAACTGCATCATTGACCTTAAGTTACCACTTTGAGTGCAGGGTAAAACTGGTTGATGAAAACAAATCCAAGCTGCTTCTATTTAATATACTCTATTGAATCCCATATTGTCAACAAAATTAACACTTAAAACATCATTACATTGCTCCATGAGTAAGTAGATAGTTGGACAAGCTCATTGATTACCCATACTCATTCCTTTTTAGCTAGTATTGGATAATAAGCAGTTATCATCAAAAAGTAGTCAACAAGCTTACTTAATTGTTTGAAGTTAATATCTCAACAATCATTACCCATATTTTAATCCCTTTTATTACATGTGCAGGACTGTCTTCGTAACAGGCTAGGGTTAGCCAAAATAATCAACTAAATAGCAGCAGACAGTTACTTTAAAGTTTGGATACATTCTTCACCTAATACAGCGACACGACACAATCTATCAGTTTATGTGGAATTCATTGATCTACATTAAGCAACTTCAGTTTGTTTACAGTATTGATTTTCTACCAGGAACAGACTCATATACTTGACTTCAATTCAAGCCACACTCTAAATGTGACACTAAATGAGTACCCAAACTGGGGTATATGGAAAGGAGTCTAAACCTGTGACCTAGCGACTCAAGGTTGAACGGTCTAACCACTGAGCAACAGCTTATTCAGTCAGTCATCATTAATGTATAGCCTTGCACAGATTTGTGTTTGTCCAAGTTCCCATACCAAATTACCACAACAAAATGGAATTAGCAGGATGAGTAGTAAAACAAATCGGAATGACATAGTGGTAATGGCGATGGAAAAGACTGAACATTGAAAACAAGATTCGTAAAGGCAATGGGAAGTTATGTGTTAAGATATTACTGGTTGTTGGTGCACCAATAAGAGACTGTGTGGATGAGAACTAAAGGTTCGTCGAATCAATGAAGGTGCATCTGTTGTCAAATGTTAGGATATTGGTGTACATATTGAATAATATAAGCGGATTCAGGTAATTATAATTTGGATTGTGATCAACGTTTTCCATTCAAAACTGTATACCGATGAATGTATGTTAATTATCCGTCGAACAAAGTGGAACGTACTGTTCTATACAACGTTAAACTGTGGATCTGGGGTGGTAAACTCCTCATTTCAAGAAGTTCAATATTCATCAAATCAATCATCTTGAAGATACTCTTGAACTGCGACAGAACACTTTTGTCAACCTTTCCACGTTTTAGTATATCCTCGGATGTTCTTATAAACCCTATTCTCCAGTCTTCATCTCATACATCTTATCATTTTGCACTTCATAAACTATAGGCATTATGTACTACATGTGGGATTTAGGAATAATCTGTCATAGTAATCAAATTAAGCATGAGGAATTAACCGATAATTAAGGATACATTGTCGCGTTTTTCTTGGACAGACTACTTTTCAGCAAAGTACAACAGTCATCGAGTGGCTTACACTGAGTCACGAAACGTCAGAAAATCTAATTTTTCTACTCATTGGGATGTTGCAAATATATTAATTTATTTATAGTCTTTCTTCTATATATTACCACCATTTAATTAACTACTTCTATGAATTCGTGGTTCATCTTGCTGTGCTAATGAGTTATTGCAACTTGAACAGATGCATATATGTGCCTGGTCCTATGTCGTAGCTAGTTGACTGAGCTAGATAAATTGATTGAATCTAGTAGATATCATGGACCTTTCAATTTTAGACCATCGTTGGAAATTTAGTAGCACTTAGCAACCGCTTCGTCTTTAGCAATGCACATCCGCAATCCGGCACTTGAGACTAATTTCAACCAATTCTAGATAATATGTGACCGTCTTCCATTATCTTCTATTAGTGTCTACCTCATACCGGACATAGTTAAACTTCACTGGTCACATCTTCTAAATAAAATTCTGAGAATTCTTTCTCGAAGCTGGTAACTAGTGTTCATATGATACTTATCAGTATACGGTTGCGGAGATCGTGCAATTTAATTTTCATTAACATTGTTTTAGCTACATTCCTAAAAACGTTCAATGTAATCTCGTTTTGAATTTTCTATAAAATCGTTTTTTCTCCTTCAGACTTTCGAAACTGTGCATGATTTATCCTTGAAACCACCACCGAATGGTTGTATACAGTGGGACGATTTATCAGCTAGTCCGATAATCACACGACCTCACTTTAAATCTTTGTCAACCTCGCCTAAATCTCCGAGTATTAAACATCCTTATGTGGATAATTTATCTCCTAGTGATTCTTCGTATTCATTTCGGAATATACCGAAAATATCCGTAAATAGCCAGGATTTATCAAGATATAATACAAAGCTCACACCGTTGGATCGTTTCCAGGTGAATAGTTCAAGTTTCTAATTGGGTGTTCATTTATACTATCTTTTTCCATCCTAAAAAGGAACAGGGTTTTGATGCTTCTTGTGTCCCAAAGTTATTATGTAACGATTTATACACCATAGTCTAAAACTATATTCTTAGAAACCTAAGAAACATCGTCTTACTAGTTGCCATACTAATAGCTTATTGATACTAACTGTAAATATGGCAACTTGGACCGATACATAAATGTGCCTGGTCCGACATTGTAGCTGACTGACTGATTGTAAATACGTTACTGTGCTACCAGGTACGAAATTCGTATAATATAATTTTTAAATATTATTAGTTTAAATCTATCTCGATACGTTCACCAGTTTTAATTTTCTGAACTAAACCTAAATAGTTTTTAATCACAAACTGAACATTAGTCAAAAGTACATTAGAAACCAGTGTGTCCAGAACTAATTCAGACTCTCATCAGACAGTATCTTATAATATTGTCTTTAGATTTTCGATGTTCATTGTTTACAGGTCACAGAGTTTCGATGAACACCAAACATTTATTGTTCATCATAGTTTACTTTCTTTATCATGGATTAAGTTGAGTTACTTGTTCTACAGCTAAACATCGTGTAAGTAATAGTGCGGTTAGATGCAGGGTATTAGAGAATGATGGTAAATCAGTTGATGAGGTCATGAATCTACATTGACTGAGATGGTTGGGCCACGTGTTACGTATGCCTGAACACCGATTAACACGACGCGCTATGCTGACTGGTGTAGGGGATGGTTGGAAGAGAGTTAGAGGCGGCCAAACCAAAACGTGGCATCAGTCCACAAAGTCACTAACCTCTAGTCTGAGCCATGTTGGTAGATGCAGACTACCTGGTTGGGTTCCGCGTGACTATCGTAACCAATGGTTGGAGACTGTGGGTGACATGACTGAGAATCGATCACAATGGCGTATGTGTATGCACTCTTTATCTTCCCTTAAACTATGAGATTAAAATTGCTTCATATCTTTCTTTCTTCCTGTACTATATCCTTATATACAACATTTCTTTTATATAATACAACCACTAAATTAACTACTTCTCTGAATTCGGTGTTCATCTTGTTTTGCTAATGAGTGAGGTATGGCAACTTGGGCCAATGCATATGTGTGCCTGGTCCTACGTTGTAGCTGACTGACTGACTAATCATATATATATAGCCATATAACCTCATGATCAACGGAGTCAAATGCCGCCTTAGGGTCGAGAAATACTACCATTGTGGGACGTCTGAATGCGTGTCATTGTTCTAGGACCTGACGTAGAGTGAATATCTGGTCTATACAACCACGTCCAAATCGAAAACCAGCTTGGTTTTCTCTAGTCTGCTCTTCATGAGCTTTGGTTAGGCGTCGAAGTATTATTGAAGTTAATCTTTTAGACAATATATTAGTCAAACTGATTCCTTTGTGATTGTCACAAGAGGACTTTTATCCTTTCTTATAGACTGGCACAATCAGTGATTGGGACCAGTCAGATGATGAACACTGTGCCTCACCTAAGTAGGGCAAATAAATTTATTGATTATTTATAGAATTTCTTATATTTCCAAAGTTTACATCAATGTTTCCATTCATATTTCTCACTGTAATTTTTAGATTATAATGGGTGTAAAACGTCCATATGTTTGTCAACAATTAATAAATAGTAATAAATATGCACCAACCATGAATACATCATATGAAAATCGTTATATACTTACATTATGCAACTATTTAGAAGATAAATTTAATGAAAAGGTAAGAAAAATACCTACTGTATTGGTTGTTGGGATAGTTGCTTACGATTTTGTGTGTATTACCTTGTGAGGATAGAATATTTTTAACTGAGATTATGGGCTGAATAATGTTAGATCACTATTGAAAACATGGAAGCACTAAACAGCCGTTTCGTCTTAGTATGGGATTGGTGAGCAGTGCGCATCCACGACCCCGAACTCAGGACTCGAACCCAGAACTTTCGGTGTCGCGCTGAAACGCTTAACTTTTAAACCACTTTATTTATTATTTATTTAAACACGTAAATATTGGTACAAGGGGTACCAGATATATTAGCGACACACAAATCTTATTTGATTTGTGTAAGGGCTTTGATACTGCACAGGTGCTTTTCTTAGGGGCCACACCCGGAGCCTTTGACCTAAAGGTCTAACCCACATGTCAGTGGAGCATCGTGAGGAGATGCAGTCACATGGTAGCCGGTGACCAACGATTGATTCATACGCTATTTGTTCCCTCAGGATACTGGAGCTCATGTGCAACATTGATTTGGAATGAGGGTTTTCCAACTCCCCTAGGTGAACTTTCGGTGTCCACCAACCCGGTTAAAGCGTCGGACATTCGCTTTTCGTCCTCTCAATTTCATAAACAACAGTAATGTCACTGTAAGGCAATGAGTAGGACTTCCCTTGTGGAGGCTATATACGCGTGGCAATGTGAGAGCATTTGGAGAGGGAGAGTGGACTCTCCCCACTCTTGGCCGTGCCAGGGCATTTGGGGGCTCTAGACCACTATACCAGTATCCAACGGTGTTAATGTCTAACTTCAACCAATCCACGATATTTCGCGACCGTCCTCCATTAACTTCAGTGTGTAACTGCCTCACTTTTTCATAATGATAATGGAAGCTTAGAAACTTAATAATATTCACCTGAACTAACAATCTCGTTCATTTGAAATTCCTGCCATCTACATTTTTTTCCGTTTCTATTTCCCTTGCAAAAGATTATTTTATTAGGCGAAGAGTCTAATCTACGGAGTAGGTATCTTTTAAAATCAGTCCAATTCGGAGCTGACATCAATATATCAGTCTGACGAGAAGTTACTACTCGGTTACACTGCATTATTGCATATTATCAGTCAATCACCTTATAAAAGCTAATCCGCAACAGATTACTAGTAGTCTCTGGTGGTTTTGTTATTCGATTGTTTCCTTTTTTTTCAGATGAAACAACACTTTATTCATTGGTGTTCATTGTCTGATATTCGAGGAAGATTTGCACGTCAAATATTACTTCCATCATTATCATCATATCCTAAACAACATGAATCCCAAAGTTCTTCGATGACTAATAATCCCCGAATATCATTTCGTCTTTTGGCAAATTACTACGTATTATTACGCCTTTTATTCTTGTATATATTTAGTTATTTTTTGTTTGGAATAAGTTCACCATTGTTATATGTAATGTGTTTAATCGCCTTATATTTGTTTTATGAATTTGTTATAACATTGATTGGGCTATGTCATGAGAAAGTGAAAAACTCTTAAAAAAAGATTCCTTTCTGTTCTTCTACTGTTCATATATGTATATGTGTGCCTGTGCTCTCACTGTGTATATGAATGTACATTATATTTACTCAACAAATGTATTACAAAACATCTTAGTTCTGATTATTATGTTGTAGTATTGGAATGAGCTAATCAGGACTTTTTAGTCTTTTGCGTAAGAATCTAATGTTACGTATGACGACTGAGATGGTTAGGCCATGTGTTACGTATGCCTGAAGACCGATAAACACGACGCACTATGTTGACTAGTGTAGGGGATGGTTGAAAAAGAGTTAGGGGCGGCCAAACCAAAACGTGGCATCAGTGCTTGAAGTCACTAACTTCTAGTCTGAGACATGTTGTTAGATGCAAACTACTTGGTTGGGGTCCTCGTGACTATCGTAACCAATGGTTGGAGACTGTGAGTGACATGGCTCAGAATCGATCACAATGGCATATGTGTATACACTCTTTATCTTCCCTTAAACGTTGAGATTAAAATTGCTTCATGTCTGTCTTTCTTCCTGTACTATATCCTTACATACAACCTATCTTTTATATACTACCACCACTAAATTAACTATTTCTATGAATTCAGTGTTCATCTTGTTGTGCTAATGAGTGAGGTATGGCAACTGGGACCGATGCATATGTGTGCCTGGTTCTACGTTGTAGCTGACTACTGACGAAAAGCGGAAATACGTTCCTTTACAGCTTAGAATATCTGAAGTGATGACTAAAAACTAATTTTTGTCCGCGTTCGCTAATATGATAATCTTATATTTGTCAAGAGCTCAATTCCCCTCTGGAGATTGTGTATAACAAGTGAATCGGCCCTGAACTAATGCTGAAACAGACATTAGTTCAGCGACGTTATATTTTATGAACAACTTGAGTTTTTGCTGGAAATTCATTCAAATTTCTTTACATTGAAGTTTATGTCACTTCATGATTAAAACTAATACTTAACGTAACCCTAACCAACAAGAATGTAGGGACTCTTAGAAAATCCTACGCATCACAGTACCAGCAGGAAACTTAAGAACTATTCTTCGTTCGTTGAACTAAGATCGGGTAAGATGGGCTAGGTATAGCAGGGTTGGATAGCTACTGGATTACTTGAGCTTCAGGGCGTTCGGAATCATCACACTGAACTATTGTAGTATCGCGCTAAAGATTAATTAGATGTTGGTATTCATTCTCAACGTTGCCAAAAGTCAGTTTTGGTTTCTTGGTAACCGCGTTCTAATGTCAATGAACCTTTGTGATTTGCGAATAAGGGCTTTAAACTGATCTTCAGTCAAAATTGTCAGTCTGAAGCTTTCGTATTGGTGGTTAATGACACCCACATGCGTAGAAAAGTTGGTGTCCTCGTTCATAATCATTTTCTAACATCGATAACGTGCATGAAGTAACGAGGGTTTATGTTAGTCGGAAATAAACCGGATTAAAGCATTTTTCATGCATGATGGTGTCGCTGCGCGCTGATTGGCTAATTCTAAACCGATCAGCTAGGGCATATTATTGCAGAAAAATCTAGAAGCTTCTTATGTATATACTAGAAATATATGAACGTTATTTAAACTAGTGATTCCTGTTCACATACCATAGTTATTTTTGAATACAGTTTCGTTCTGTTCAACGTGTTCTGATTTTGGGGTCTTGTCGGGTGTCATCGTATAAAAATACTAAGCAATAGGAGTAGCTGGGTTGTTTATAAGCAATACAATTATAACAGTTTATCTTCAAACTGTTGACTAAACGATGTTAACAAATGAGCGGTTTTGTGGCACAAATCAAATTACTATACATATCTAATTGACTTGGACCAAATTTTCGAAGTAGCAACCAAACTCTCTAAGCATCATAATGATCGTCAAAATCAAATTTAAATTAATCTTCATAACTCCGTAACCACATGTTAAACGTAGTATTAGCATCGGGGTCGTAGTTAAATTCGTCAATATTGTTTGCGATTCCATCAATTGACTATACGGTAGCAGAGATAGATGTGCCAGGTTCGAAAGTAGGAGTAGTTTTCATATATGGTAACATCTAGATAAATTTAAGCTGCTACTTCTCTATCGATACTTCTACATTCGTAGGATCCATACTTGCACCAGCCTAGTCGGCTCTGATGTGTTCGAGGGGGTTACGATATCACTTAGGATCAGCAACAGGACAAGCAAAGCTATCTCACTACTCTGTAGTCCTGCTAACTAGAGGGAAAAAACAAGATTCATCCGGGAAAAAAAAATATATATATATTCCACAAGCAGCCCGTAAGAACGAACAAACACGCACTGCATGCTTATACATACAACACAAAATATCCTTGAAAAACGTCAGAAAATAACTTACTGAAAGGGGGAGCGAAACAATAAAATTTAAGGGTATTTCCAGGTGAGACACAAACTTAAGATAAAAGTGGGTGCGTCTATAATTTAAAGGGTGAATAACTGTTTTTGTATTTGTTACGTCCTGTAGACTAAATCGCCAATTAGAACACTGACTTATGAGACCTGGAGTCAACTCCCTATTGGTTCATCTTACCTAGCCCTGCCTGTTGAGTCCAGAACATAATCTCATCTTTCACTTTGTGAATCATGTACTTCAGACATCCGCGGTTTAAATACAGGTAAATCTGACTGCATCATGCCATAATATAAAAAATAACAATTACACGAGATCAAGCCCAAAGTGGCTGTGAGTGTGAGAGACTGTAACTATTAAATTGGGAATAAGTTAAAAATGGTAAATCGTATCACAATACCCAATATGTCAAGTGAAAGGAGTACGAATATATATATATATATACATATATATATATATATATCTGGTCCACAAAGCAGTGGAGCATCGTAAGGAGATGCAGTCCCATGGTAGCCGGTGACCAACGATTGATTCATATGCCATTTTTTTCGCTCAGGTTACTGGAGTCCATGTACACAATTGGTTTGGAATGAGGGTTTTCCAACTCCCCTAGGTAGAATCACTGTGTCCACAGGCCCAGTTAAAGCGCCGGACATTGACTTTTCACCCTTTGAATTTCTTGAACAACACCCCCGTCACGACAGGGCAGTGAATAGGACTTCCCTGTCAGAGGCTGTATACGTGTAGCCGTGTGAGAGGATTTCGAGAGAGAGAGAGGAAGGGGGCTCTCCCCACTCTCGGCTGTACAGCACTATTTGTTTTTGGGAAATTACCATAAGCCAATAATATATTTTACTCTGATGGAAAAATACAATGTCAAATTCAGTTGTAAACTATAATTAAATGGCATTAGTAAATAGAACACAAATTTTAGTAAATAAATGAATACTAACTAAATTATTCAATTACCATATTCTAGTAACTGTTTAATCACTATGGTAATTCATGTAGAGATTTAAATAACAGAAAGCAATGTCATATTGATTTGATAGTATACATGGAAACTACATTTGATGATCATAGGGAAATTGTTGAATACAGAACTTCAGTTTAATGGTTCTGGAATCAAACTGTCTACTCATAAGAAGTAGGCCGGTTATATCTGTACTATAGGCCCACTAACGTTAGACAACATTGTTATCAAGGCATAACGATTCATTTGTTTAGCTTCATTTTGTAAATATCTTTTTATGACTTGAGGTTGTGATTGAAATTCTTCCCAATATCGATTGTTTAAATGATGTTCACTATTCCATAATTGTATTGTAATTGCTTTCTTATTGTATAAATTTAATGTTTCCAACTCGAATATATCATCTTTTAAAAATAAAAGGTTTGATAAAGCTTTAGCTTTGGAAGTTAAGAATATTCCTTCTTCTTCTTCCTCTTCTGCTTCTTTATCTTCTTCTGAGTAGTAAACATTTTCGTCTCTAACATCGTTTAGTGTTCTATCAATTGAACATGGACATAAACATTGACAAATGAGACGTCTTCTGTTATTCAAGTCGACATTCAAATCAGTCATTCTCTCTCTATATATATATTGATCTTATGATTTCAAAATAGATACATTTGTTTATATTATTACTGTATTGACTACTTATAACGAATGGGTTGCATATATTGTATTAATGAATCTAAATGAATGATTATATTATGCAAAGGATGCATTTTGTGGTATTGAATTCCTTTAGGTTAGTTTTGAAATAGTGGAGAAGATTTGTAGCACAAGTGGATGATTTTCATGGAGTTTTGTTCTTTGAGGTAGATAGTTTGGACGTGAAGTTTGTGCTGAGAATGTCGTTTAGAAGAACGATGGAAGCTCCACGACCAAACCATCCAGCTCAGAGAAAAAAATTTAAGATAGTTGTTCGATAGTTATTTTGAAAAACATTGTCAGAAGGGATTTTGTGGAGATTTATGATATGTCTTATAGGTTGAACGCTATATTCAGATCCTAAGCTATTCGGACAACCCCAGGCTAGCACTACTCAGCAACTTGAAGACCAGAGAGAAGACACGAGTAGCGAGAAGATACTTTATTGCAAGGTTCAGATTTGTACAGAAAAATCGTAAGTATTTATAGATGTTTGCTTAAGTTAAATCAACATCCTAATTCAGCCAATCCAATAAACGACATATATTGCTACTGACCAATGGTAGCATGCTACGTTGGAACTCCAGAATGTTCTGTCGTGCTCTGATTGGTTGGAGCTCTTTTTGAGCCTCTGGAGGCTCTGTTGGAGTTCTCTGGAAACCGACTTAACAATTTAGTATTTTCTTAGTTGAAAGCGTGAGTCAATTGCAGCTAGACCATCAAAGAAAACCTGGAAGCACTGGATGGAGAGGTCGTGAATGTGTACTACTGAGGAGTTCCATAATAGGACGGAACGACCGTTCAGTGCTTCCAGGTTTTCCTTGGCGGTATAGCTTCAATTGACTCATGAACATTATATTGTTAGTTTCATCCAAGAAAATAAAGCAGCAGTTTAATTTTAATACAAAGTGGTCTAAGGAAATGGTAGTCTATAAGTCAAGGAAATTTTAGGAATACTGAAGGTTATATTCAATAACTGCACTATTATTAATACATATATGAAATATCAATCATTAAGCTATAACTTTATCCACGCTTTGTTTATAAGATTTGGCCATATTGTGGTGTGGACTACTTATGTCGACATAAGTAGTATACGTCGTGAGTCAGAAATAGAATGTCTGGCAGTAGAAGATTGAGAAGAAATGAACGGAAACAGAAAACAATTGGTATGGAAATGCAGGAATAATGAAGTTTGAGACAATTAATGGACATTTAAAAAACTAAGTATTAGAGTATGGTTGATAAGCAAAGATGGATAATGGTTAGAAGTGGAATCCAGGACAAGCAGCTTTTCGTCCTATTTCGGACTCGTCAACTAGATGTACTTGAATCTCAGAGTTCATGTTCACTGTGGGACTCGAACCCAGTATCATTCGCTTCAAACTCCATCGCTTTATCCACTCAGCTGCTGAGTTCTGATATCCACTTGCTTGTGCAATAAGAGACTAACCAGTTGCAGTCCTAAACATCAATAGGAAGATTCAAACAAACAAGTGAATTTAGAGTATGGTCTGTCCATGTTTTCTTAAGTAATTCTGTAAAAGAGTCGGTTATCATCACCTTCACTACAATATCACTTGCTTATTTTAATATTCAGGTTACATTTGGAAAACCTCTTTAGTTTGTAATCGGTAACACTATTCAATGTGATCAGTGCTCCACCATTGCATTGTTCAGTTACAGACTAGCAATGTTCATTTCCGATCTGTTTAGAGTGGTAATTTATATCTATGAGTTATTAATTAAGCAAGAGGACAAAGTAGAACTGAAAAGAGTCTACATTTCTTAATTTGATAAATATAATAAGGATGTTTCTACTAGAGTTGAAATACATACATATTCACTGTGTATATGGGTTCAAACGTTAATGTAGTGAACAGAACACTGATTGGGGACAATCGAATGTATTTAGACACAAATTACAGACTATTTCACTACATTCTGATAACCATACAGTAAACAGTTAATTTGTAAAATAACAACCCATTGTCTCAATCTTTACTGTTCCCTCTGTAAATATCAGTTAATCTTCTCTAATTTCATCGTTCATGCCGATTGCGCTTCGTTCCTGTTCGTTCCTTATCGATCTTCTGCCAAAATACATTATATGTCTGACCAACACCATATTCTACTTATATGGATATAAGTAGACCACACTACACTCGTTCCCCCTTTAAAGCAGTCGTTCATGCGGTGGTTCTGCTCGCCGTACACACATTCTTCTTGTACTACAGTCTGTTCGAAGCTCCTTGTCAAAATGTCGAGTCTGCGGCGCGCTGACCTCTATAGCTCCATCGACCTGCCGCGGACTAACACCCGACATTGACCCGACACCTGGGACGTTCAACACCCGTACTCCACCGGCCTGTTGAGCCATCTACGTCCGATATTCACCCAGCAGCCGAACGTCCCACTGCTTCTCTCCGTTGACAGCGTTTGCTACAGACAACACCGCCCTTCCAGAACACTCCACTCGACGTCACCTCTCCACACCAGACTGCCCCAACCAGCAACTCGACTCCAAGCCGGCAGCGGCGTCCACAGAACAGCAACCTTCCTCTTCCTGGTTGGCAGCGACAATAAATGTAGTGAACAAAACACTTGGTAGGGACAATCGAATATTTAATATGCATTAACTAAAATGTTGATTCAATTCGATTCTTTTTTGTCGTATATCAATAAGTGGTTGTGATATAAAATCTCAACCTTAACAACAAGTGATTTTGACTATTTGTAAAAGCGATATATCTAAGTAATTACCAAGAATTAGGGGGGGAAACTGAGCTAAACTCTACCTAGTATTTGTGAATAAATGATAGAAGAAATATGTGCGCATTCTACTGTAAGTATTGACAGATAATATCGTTGTGGAATTCAAGCTTTTAAGGTACTATTAGTAATAAGCGTCAAGATACAGCCATTTAAGCTGATGTTCAACAGTATTAACTTTGATAACTAGTGATCTGTTGTATGCTAAATTATAATTGAATATTGAAAGTGAAGTCAGTTTTGAAACTCGGATACAATGAAATCATTAGTAACTGGTTTATCACTATTACCTTCTTTAGATGTAATAACAGCGTTATGATTTTCAGTGAATGATATTTGGAATGAATCACATTGCATCCAATAGTCATTATTGATATTTCATTCAAATATAAGCGATGTTATATTCACTTGTTGTTGTTGTTTACTTGTATCTTCCCATTGTTATTTAGGACGTCAATTGATCAATCTCTTGTTAGCGCATGTGCATCCTGAGCGGACTGCTTCGATATTGACTGAAGTCACAAGCTTTATAAGCAATGATGGATTCCATTGCTAACCACTATCCATCATTGTTTATAAAGCTTAACGATGTTAGTTACATTTTAGTCAGTTCAAGTGTTTCAGAATGATCATTCTAAACATTCTTCTGTGTATAGTTATATAATACAATAATATGATTGAATAGATTTCATCTTATCTATCAGATTAGCACCAATCTTACAACCACTTAAATCACTACTAAATAATTAACTATATACATGATCATTCTCAACATACTCATATTTGAAGTAGATTTACTTCAGTGTTTTACAGAATCAATTAATCAATACTCTTCATAAAAGACATCCCATAACTTGTAATGTTACCTGCTCACTAGAACTCCAGGAAATACTTATTGAAGCCAGTCACTAGAGAGCATATGTTGTACTGTTAAATTATATAACTGAGTGATTAATTCAATGTTATATCCCGTGGAGAATTATGAATGGTAACTTTTGAGAACTATATATGGACCAATGTGATATGTATATTTCCTATTTTATAATTGCTAAGTAACTCAACTATTCATGTTCATGTTCCTTTCATTATGAGCTTTATTTTGACCCGTAGACTATTACTGTACGATTTACTATTCCTGAGTTATGTCCAGTCTATTAAATACAGTCTCCCACATTCACAGCCACATTTGGCCAAATCTCGTACAAATGGTGTTATGTAATTTATGGTATGATGTGGTCTATTTGATTTGTATATAAGCTCAGTATGTTTGAAAATAATGATTCATATTGCAGACGCTGTTATTGGTGTTCTGAACTTAACTAGTTAGGCTAGGCAGAAAACAGGACCGATAAGTACTCTTGACTTCTCGCACTGATTTCGTGTGTCATTGGTCCGATCTATAATTCGCTGCTCTCTGATTGATGGTTTTATCACATTATGCATTTAACAAATCATCCACTCGGCCACAAGTTATATAGTAGTAATATATTAGTTATGTAAGAATTAAGAGACAAATGTTAAGAATAAATAAAATACAAAAATACCATAAAAAAACGGAAGGAATACGAAAATTGTTTACCGAAATTCTGCTATAGACTATGCTATACCGATGGCCAATGTAGTAAGAGTAATTGTACAAACTTTTTGTGGATATAAAGGTTTGGTTTATGAACATGGATTGTGATGACTTCAGCAATGTGTAAAAGACGAACTCGTGAACACATGCGGCAAATTTAATTGAATATTGGTAGATAACCTTAATTCGCTTCAACTTGATGATCTGTATCCATGAGGTGAGCGAGAACAGAATTCTTAATTACTATGTAATTATTACGTAACGTATCTACTCGGAGAGTGTTATTTCATTAATAGTATACAGCCACGGTGAAAAAATATTTGAAAACCAAATTTCTCCGCTCGATTCTGTCTTTCTTTATTTGCCAAATAAAAAAAATATCAGAAGGGGTTTTTGTAGAGATTTCAGTATTTTCATAGTTGAAATCATGAGTCAAATGAAGCTAGATCACCATGCAAAACCTGGAATAACTGGATGGCCGTTTCGTCCTATTGTGGGACCCCTCAGCAGTGCACATCCACGATCCTGCTTCGCGAGATTCGAACTCAGGACATTTGAGTCTCGCGCGTGAGCACTTAACCTCTAGAGCCACTGAGCTGGCCGGAATCCAACGGTGTTTATGTCCAACTTCAACCAATCCACGGAATTGAGAGACAAATCCGCCATTGTCTTCAGTGAGTTGATATCCCATAACAGGCCCGGTTGAACCCCATTGGTCACTGTTTCTCCCTAGAACTACAAGAAATACCTCTTGAAGCCAGTCACTAGTTAACATACTATGAATATTAACAGAAGGGGGTTTTGTGGAGATTTTAGTAATCTTATAGTTGAGATCATGAGTCAATTAAAGCTAGGCCATCATGGATACCCACTGCTAAGGAGTCCCACAACAGGACAAAACAGCCTTCCATATTTTCCATGGTGGTCTACCATCAATTGACTCATGATCTCAACAATTAAATTTTAAAAAAATAGCTGAAATGTTTTAATATACTTTTTTTAATTGATATAGAACGACTGTTTCGCCCTATTGTGAGACGTCTCAGCAGTGCGTATCCACGACATCATCCCACAAGATTCAAACCCAGGACCTACCAGTCTCGTGCCAGAGCACTTAACCGATAGACTATTGAGACAGCATCCAACTGTGTTAATGTCATTCATTTAAGTAGTTTATTTTAAAATAGTTTTTAAAAAAATTTCCCAATTAATTTTTTTTATTTAAATAACCCTGATTTGTTTTATAAAACATTAAATTTTTTAATTGTTTCTCTTTTAAATTTAAATTTTCCGCTTCTTTTCTTAACATTTCTTCATAGGCTAATTCAGTATTCATTTGTGCTTCTTTATCTGCATCTATTTCATTTTTAGCTAATTGATTCAATTTAGTTTTTTCTATGATTTGATTAGTTAATTCAGTTGATTGTTCTATATTATGATGATGACGTTTAATTTCTTCAAATTTATTATTTATATTCATTGTTTCAATTTGTTCTAATAATTCTTCAGTGGAAATTAATTCTTCTTGTTGAAGATGTTGAATTGAAGTTAGTTGATCTGAGATTTGTTTACGACGATCTTCAATAACCTAAAATTTGAAAGCAGATTCAAAATAGGATCAGTAGTAGTGTGGTGTAGTCTACTTATATCTATATAAGTAGTATATGGTGTGGGTCAGACATAGAATGTATTTTGGCAGTAGACCGGTGAACAAAGAACTGAAATGAAGCGCAATCGTTTGGAAAATGCATGAACAATGGAATTAGAGAAGAAACAGTGAACATTGAAACAATTGGTTGTTAATTTGCAAATTGACTATTCATTGTTTGGTTATCAGAATTTACCGAGACAGTCTGTAATGTTTGCTTAAATACATTCGATTGTCCCCAACTGGTGTTCTGTTCACTACAGTAGTATTATTATTATTAGTCGTAGTAGTAGGTTTTATTTCAGTTCATTTAGGAGCTAGATTTATTTCTGTACTATCTTTAACCGATGCATGTATATCCCACTTTCTATGTTATTTGTAGCTAATCGACATAAAGACATTTTCGTTTATAAATTTACTTTGAAATAGTTCATCTATAAACTGAGCAGGACTTAATCCCGCCTGTAGGTAGATCTTCTAAAATTATTGCTGGTCCCAAGCTCGGGTAAACGAAGAGGGTTAGGTATGAGGTAAGAAAATAACCCTGATAAAAAACGATAACCAGGACAATCAAATTAAACTATTTAAATTCTGCTTAGAGAATTTTAACGTATTTATTTAGAAGCATTATGACGCCTCATGGTGAAAGTAGAGATTCTTTGCAAGTCACGAAGCCGATACCTCTTCTAACTACCAAAGCAACAATTTTTATAAGTACATAAAACGTCCGAGAGGACCAGTGAAATAGCTACAAAAATGAGAAGATATAGATGAACGTAGGTCAAGATAAAGTTAGTCAGTTTTAAAGACCATGACTGTAAATTTATTTAACAATAAATATATACCTCTTTCAATTTATACTGATATTGACCATCTCCGAGATCATTAACCGAACACTTGGAATTCAGTTTGAATAATTATAGGAAAACATCAACCGAGAGAAACTAATTGTGGGGTAGGTAGATCGATTACATCACAATTTATTTACTCTGAAGAAGTGGCTCACATTAAGTCACAAAACTTTAGAAATACAATACCAATAATTTAAATCTATTAATTTACAATGAACAGACTAAAATTATAGATGTTCAACTTTAAACTTAGATATTAACTCAACTCACTTCATGTAAAAGTTTTTGTCTATTGGCTGTTTCATTTCTCCATTCCTCTTCACGTTTAGACCATAATTTTGATGCTTCATAGCTAGATAAATCATTATCAATTTTGATTAATGTTAACTTTCACTTAAAGAGTCATTTGATTAAATTATAAGCAAGTAAATAATGAAAATTTACAAATAATGAAGTTCATTAAAGTTAAGTGTTCAGTTACTATGCTTATAAACATAATGTAGGACTGATAGTTGGAGATTAGAAGGATCATAGTTAACGACTAATTAGTGATTTACCTTTATTCAACTACTTTTCATGCTTTGAACAGTAGATAAGATTGTATTTAACTTGTAGCAAGCCCATTCAACTACTGTATTTTTTATGTGCTCTCTGTAATCTTAGCATTAATCCACTTTGTAAATTTATGTGAGTCTGATTGAACGCATATGTCTGCACATCAATCCTTAATCTGTTCTCTCATTGGTTGTAAACAAAGACAATCAATAATTTATCCACAATCCATTAACACTCAAAAATATATATGGATTTTTAACACTCACACACACATACACACACACTTGTTTTCCCGGTGTGCTTGCTATCTGTACGCTTGTGGATTTTTACCGAGCTTCATCAATAAACTATCTCTATAACTGGTGTTCAGGCTTTTGAATAATCTCGAGTAAACCCGTAATTCTACCAGGAGATTTAGCCTGCAGTAAATAATCAGTTAGCGGGATATTATTTATTTATTGGAGTCAGATATAGAGGAATTAATCATTTACAAACTAAACCGAGGTATTGAACGGCAGTTACCCCTTCATAATTTTTGTTGAAAGGTGAAGGTCACAGTGAATTTCATTCGACGACATCGAAAGATGATCAGGCTGTAATCATGAATTGAATGCAGTCTAAAAGTGTGAACAACTAGGATTTTGACGGGTAATCGAGAAGTTCTAAAACTCATTGTGATATATCTATAACTGAACCTGTATAATTCTGAAAAGTAATTATCATTAACCTCTACTAGTAAAATGAAATAATTGGTGCGTCGCACAAAAAATCATACTTTGTAACCATTCTACCTGTGATTGGTAATGAATCTGAAGATTTGAAGCCGTTCAGTAGAGAAAAGTATCATTGGAATCATGAACAGATCTAAGTTAAACTACCTTTTAAAATCTGAAAGTACTGTGCGGCCGTTTCTTCCTTACATGGAGCCATTCAGCAGTGTGCATTCGCGAACCCAGAATCTTCGGTTTCGCATGTGAACGTCTAACCTCTAGTCTACTGAGCCGGCATCTAGAGGGATTAAGTATAATCAATCCATGACATTGTGCAACCATCTTCTATTGCGTTTGGCGGGTAACTGCCTAACACTCGATACAGGCGTTTACTACTCCAAGGTTTTCAAAGGTAGTCTAACTTGATTCATGATTTTGGTGAAAGTCAACAATCCCCACAACCTCTTACCGACAAAGAAAATTATCTTCTCAACCATAACATATCATATTATTAGTGATCAAACAAACATATGAGTCTGATATATTGTGGAATGAAATTAAAAATCACAAAGTGTCCGGAGATTTCAAGTATTGAAAGACGGTTACGTAACGATCTAGAAGTTAGTGAAATATAGAAAGATGACAATTATTAATGAGTCATAAATAACAAAGATACTTTTTGGTTGAAAGCGTGAGTCAATTGAAGCTAGACCATCAGGGGAAATCTGGAAGCACTGGACGGCCGTTTCGTCCTATTATGGGACTCCTCAGCAGTGCTGGCTTCAATTGACTCACGCCTTCAACTATGAAAATACTATAAAACCCCTTCTGATAATAAAGATATTTCTCTACTTGACAGATATGAAGGAGAAATGAAAACTGTAAATGTATTAATAATAATTGAGAGAGTAAAACTAACTGAATACCTATTTAGGAAGTAAAATACAACAACAAAAACGAAAAAAAGCATAGTGGAGAAGGTGTAAAGGCTTTGTAAGTAATATAGGTTTTACATGTTGTTCTCACATACAGAGCTCATGCTTGGGTTGGTGAATTACCAAGATGTACGAGTTTTCGATTTGACCTCCATTCGATCCTACAGTGTTAATGATTTTGAAGGATGATTCTGATGAGGAAATGTACCTAGAATTGATGGAATGTTTCAGTATTCGAGTAGTAATTGTTTTGTATTCTGTTAAATCTATACCGATTAATGTTTTGAGATCCACTTAGAAAGCGTATAGAGGCTAATTTCTTCTATATCTGACTCCAATACATAGTATCCCGTTAATTGAGTATTTACGCAGATTAAATCTCCTAGTAGTACCATGAATTTACTCGAGACTATTCCAAAGCTCGAACACGAATTGTTGAGATAATTTATTGTTAATGACTAGTAATAATCCGTAAGCGCCCAAATAGCAACCACATGGGGAAACCAGTGAGTGTTAAAAATCCATGTATATTTGTATATTAATCGATTGTGGATACATTATTGATTGTTTATGTTTACAACCAATGAGTGAATAGATAAAGATTGATATGCAGATATGCGTTCAATGAGACCGGCACAAAAATTCACATAGTGGATGAAATGACTAAATTACAGCGAGCAGACAAATAATAAAATAGTGTTCGCTTTTTACATCTAACGTTTCTATATTTCGCTAACTTCTAGATCGTTAAATAACTGTCTTTCAATACATGGAATCTCCAGACACTTTGTGATTTAATTTTATTCCAAAACACATCAGACTCATATGGTTATAAAATCACTATAAATACGATATGATATAGTCGGGAGAAAGGGAAATTCTCCTCATTAAACTGCCCTTTTCTTCAATGACACAATGAGTTACCTAGTTTCCCTTAAAATTTCAAAGGAAGATATATGAAAAGAACCAATTCTTCGTAGCATTAAAAGGGGGGGGGTTGTGGCGACTCTAGTAATTTTTATATAGTTGAAATCATGAGTCATTTGAAGTTAGACTACCATGGAAAACCTGGAAGCACTGGACGGCCAACCCGTCTTATTGTGGCACTCCTAAGCAGTGCGCATTAACCAGTAGAGTTCAACCAGGTCTGTTGTGAGATATCAATTCACTGAAGACATCGGTGAACGGTTGCTCAAACATCGTGGATTGGTTGAAGTTAGACATTAACAACGTTAGATGCCGGCCGGCTCAGTGGTCTAGTGGTTAAGCGATCGCGCGCGAGACTGTTAGGTCCTGTTTTCGAATCTCGCGACTGCGGGATCGTGGATGCTCACTGCTGAGGAGTCCCATAATAGGACGAAACGACCTTGCAGTGCTTCCAGGTTTTCCATAATGGTGTAGCTTCAATTGACTCATGATTTCAACTATGAAGATAACATATTTAAAAACCTTCAAACTTACACTTCTAATTCATTCAATTCTAATTCTCTTATTTGTTCTTTTTCTAATTCATATTCAATTAATTTTTGTATTGCTAAAAGATTTTCTTTCTCCTTTTGTTTACGTTCAATATCAGCGCCATAATCAAGAGTTTCTTGTTTAGTTAATTGATTTAACCAATTTAAATCATCTTTTAATTCATTTTGTATAAATAATGAACGTTTACGTAACGCTGTTTGATGTTGATGTAATAAAGCACGTCCATATAGTTCACGTTTACATTTTTCTTCAATTCTATATCGTTCTTGTTCTAATTGATCAATTCTAGCTAATTCTTTCATTAAATCTTTCTCTTTTTCAGCCAATTGTTTTGCCTAAAAAATGTTTTAATGCAATATATAATGATAGAAAGATAATAGAAGGGTTTTTTGTGTATATTATACTAATTATATACTTAAAATCATGAGTCAATTGAAGCTAGACCACCATAGAAAACCTGGAAGCACTGGATGGTCGTTTCACCCCAGTATAGGACTCTTCAGCAATGCGTATCCACGATCCCACCTCGTGAGATTCGAACCCAGGATCTATCAGTCCCGAGCGTGAGCGCTTAACCACTAGACCACCGAGCCGGCATCCAACGGTGTTCATGTCTAACTTCAACCAATCCACGATTTTGAGAAACCGTTCACCAATTGTCTTCAGTGAGTTGATATCTCACGACAGACCTGGTTGAACTCCACTGGTTAGTGCGCACTGCTAAAGAGTTCCACAACAGGACGAAACGGTCTTCCAGTGCTTCCAGGTTTTCTATGGTGGTCTAGCTTCAATTGACTCATGATTTCAACTATATAAAAAAATAATTTTAACTTTAAAAACATATACCTCTTATGTGCACATCTTTTTGATTCTATATTTGTGGATTACATGTGTGCTTATGTACATCTGTACAATTAATTATCTTATCCATTATGTCTCTTTGATCACACTATTATAAACGGGTCGTAACGAGTAATATTCTGACTAATATGTCTCATCTCTGATTCTCGTCTCCTATTGTCTGTCTGTTAGCGGGAAATAAACCGAATTAAGGCATGTTATATGCATGATCGTGACGACGCACGCTGATTGGCTAATTCTAAATCAACCAGCTCTAGCAAATTACTGGAGAAACATCTAGAAGCTTCATATGTATATATATTATAAATATATGAACGTTTTTCTAACAATTGATTGCTGTTTACCTTACCTTTGTTATTTTGAATACAATTTCGTTCCTGTTCAACATGTTCTGATTTTTGAGGGTCTTGTCGAGTGTCATTCGTATAAGTATACTAAGCAATAGGAGTAGTTGGGTCGTTTATTAGCAGAAACAATTATAACACTGTCTATAATAATCGATCAATGAAACATATAGAAATAACAAACAGAAAAACATTCAAATCGGATTTCCTTTCTCATCATCCAATACATCTACGTTAATATTCTCTGAATGTTTACCTGACAAACAATGAAAAACTGTGGTCACCTTAGAAACACATAACAATTGGATAGTACTCACATCAGTCTGACAAAAAAAAAGATTATGAGGAGTTAAAACCTTACTAGAATTCCGTATCCCACTCATATTTATACTCATGTCAATTTAGATAGTTTGTAGTTAACTCACTTCATTTTCTCGATTGTTTAATTCACGTAATTGTTTTTGAAGGTATGCCAAATGTTCTTCTTTAGCTTGTAAACGCTTTAGTTCTATTTCTGCATTTTGTTTATCTTCATACATTTTAACATCTGATTCCATTTCTTTCATGACGATCTGACCAATATCTTCGGATTGTTTTAACTTGATATAAAAAAATAGACAATCAACTTCGATGATTCAGAAAGGAGAAAAACTTTTCAACCTTCATTATGCACGTTTATTCCTATTTTACTTCACATAGAAACATATCAACACTGAATATCATTCATCATTAATAACTCATCTTACACATACATACATACACACAATTTATGCAGTCTCCTTTAATTCACATCGTTGAACTTTTCACTTGATTCTCATTCAACTGACTCATATTATCCTGTTGTACAAAAACTTCGACATCCAAATATGATTGGATTAAAAAGTAGTAGAGATTTTGATATGATTGTAAAAGCACTATATATTTCTTTGATGATTTTGATCTTGATTATTTCCCTGAAGAAGTCCAGACAAGTTAGCTGGACGAAACGTTGGAATTATTTAAATTTCAATCGCTGAGACTATTTCAAATATAATTTTTTCACATATAATGAATTCTCTATACTCGGCGCCCAATTATTGTCAAACTATTCGTTCTAATCTTGACGAATATTCGTATAAATCAGAAGGGGGTTTATGGAGATTTTAGTATTTTTCATAGTTGAAATCATGAGTCAATTGAAGCTAGACCACCATGGAAAATCTGTAAGCACTGGACGTCCGTTTCGTCCCATTGTGTGACTCCTCAGCAGTGCTCATTCATGAATCCGTACTCGCGAGATTCGAACACAAGACCTACCAGTCTCGCGCCAGAGCACCTAACCGATAGACCACTGAGCTGGTCGACATCAAACGGTGCTAATATCTGACTTCAACCAATCCACGAAGTTTGAGCAACCGTTCACTAATTGTCTTCAGTGAGTTGATATCTCTACAACAGACTTGGTTGAACTCCACTGGTCACTGCTTCCCACTAGAACTCCTGAACATACATCTTGAAGTCAGTCACTAGTGAGCATATGATTATAATCAGAAGTGGATTTGTAGAGATTTCAGTATTTCTCATAGTTGAAATCATGAGTCAATTGAAGCCAGACCACTATGGAAAACCTGAAAGCACTGGATGGCCAACTCGTCGTGGACGGCCGTTTCGTTCTATTATGGGACTCCTCAGCAGTGCGCATCCAGTGCTTCCAGGTTTTCCACGGTGGTCTAGCTTCAATTGAATCATGATTTCAACTATGAAAAATAGATAAAATAAAAATTCAATATTTAACAAGTTTCATCTCTATGATTTGTACAGAATTTTATCCTCATTCGTTAACGTTTAGTAGTTGAAGAGTCATTGAATACTGTATAAGTTCTATTCATGGTATCTAAACCAGATTGGTATCATCTGGCTCATTAAGTGATAATCATAACTAAATAATTTATCCAATCTTAAATAACTTAAGTCATCTCGACATTATCAACCATACACTGATCTTATGTGAAATTACAGAACAATCAAGGAACACAGATTTTATCACGACATATGTGTAGAAGATAGATAATTGTCAAGAGAAGATTTTTGAAAGTGCCATTTACAGTAATAAATATATTTTTAATATATCTTAATGAGTAGGAAGATTGTATTTCCGATGTTTCGTGAATTAATGTAAGTCACTTCTTCAGAGTGAGCAAACGACCGAAATTACTCTGAAGAAGTGACTTACATGAATTCACGAAACATCAGAAATACAAGCTTTCTACTCATTAAGATATAACAAAAATATATTTATTATTAACTCTCTACTCAATGCTCAATTTATTTTGAAACTATCAAGTCAAACCTTCGTATTGATACCTATACTATTTAACGTTTAATAATTAGAGAATATGAAAACCGAGTGATTTGCTGAGGAGTCCCACAATAGGACGAAACGGACGTCCAGTGCTTCCAGGTTTTCCTTGGTTGTCTAGTTTCAACTGACTCATGATTTCAACTGTGAAAATACTGAAATCTACACAAAAAACCCTTTTAAATATGTTATCAACAACAATAGTAACTATCATAATAATCCCGTTTGTTTTGTGTGAAATAAATAACAAAACAAACTAACTCAATTCATTTAATCAAACTGAGTATGTTCAGATGATGATTAAAACCGTGATTATTACAGCCTAAGCCAACTATCCTTTTTAAAATAGTCAATTTCTTTGCCGTTAAGTTTATTTAGTTAACCATTGGTATATATATATATATATATATATCGCATTTCGGTATCTAAGGAGAGAGTTCGATATTAATTTTTTCCTTAGTCCATATATTATATAGGTTTTCATATTGACATTGAAAACTACATCTAATTTCGTTTCCTCATGTTTCAACTTTCGGACCAAACGTGAGACATTAAAGTTAAGGCCATTATTGTTCAAAGATAAAACCAAGCTTTTTAAAAGTGTCAGAGAGGCATATTGAAAACGATCTCTTCAGAAAGATGATTATTTTCAAAGCCTAATAGAAAGAGTGTAGTATTTGTACGAACTAATGATTATTTTGTAATTGATTGCCTGTTGATCACGAATTCCAAACATAATGCGTTCATTTGAGTTCATCTAGTTCTACCCGTCTCAAAATGCATTATTTCGGGAACTCCTAATTAATATAGTAATTCGAATACTTCTAATTTTCATATTGGAGTCGCGATGGAGTTAAACCTTGGACAGTTGTATATTAATTCAAGAGAAGACGACTTAAAAGACTACATGGAGCAGTTCAAAATATGGTGCATAACTAGAAAACATATTAAAGATGATCAATTCATAGCTCGCTCCTGACGTTCATCGGCAAAGAAGCTCATAACGTAATAAAGAATCTAGCTTTTCCCTAGGAACCAATTTTATTGTTATATGAGTCTCGTAAGGGGTTACTACTTAGCTATGTGAAGTGTGCTAGCTTTGAATGCAGAGAGAGACCGAAGTTTTAGAAAAATGATACGACAAAATGGTCAGAAAGTCAAAGACTTTAAACTTGAACTACAGAAACAGCCCGCGCAGTTTAATATCGGAGAACCATTGGAAACTCAACTTCGTGATCGCTTGATTGCTGGTATAAATATCCCGAATTTAGAAAATTAATTAATTTAGAAACCCAAAAGTTCATTCCAAAAAATTCAAACAACATATATTAACTATAAAGCAGTGAATGAGGTTGAATTTTAGTCAGTGAAGATTTCTAATACTTTGCCTAGTCGTCGTGACGAACTACACTCTCAGAGTCACTCAAGCTCGCGTTCATTCACCAAGGGTTCCTACTGTCCTTGAAATCTAAACAGTGATCCAACAAAGATTTGTAAAGCAGGTTATGAATGCAAGCATAGGTTTGATAAATGTTTATCCTGTGGTAAATTTCACTTATGTTTTGCCACTAGTGAAGATAAACCCTGTAGTTCGGATTCAATCGAGTTGAGTGTTTCCAATGATTATCTTTAACCACCGTTTCAAAAGGTAATTTCCATGTTCGGAAGCGATTATTTACCTCACTTGGTTCATTTCATGACTTTATTGTGGACACAGGTAGTATAGAGTTCATTATTTCATACAGTAACCTGAAATCTTTAGATTCTAATGTTGTAGTACGACTCACTGAAGTCTCAGTATTGGAGATTACCAAACACAGGCTGTCCATACGAGGATTCTGTGAATTGCCAATATGAGATGATAATTATTCATATATGCCCTGTATTGCGTGAAAAAGAACCGTCAATAATGGGCTCAAAAATTTGAAAAAGCTTAAAGTGGGGTTGTCTTTAATAGTTTCTAAAGAAGATTCTGATGCTTCACTCGAAGCTTTGTTGGCTGCGTGTGCTAAGTGCAGTGGAGGTATGAGAATTCAGTTTGCAAAACTTCAAGTACAGGGTGATTCAGTGTTTCCTAGAAGATGAATAATTCCTTATGGTCTTCGAGAAACAGTACTTAAAGACATTGGACGATTTGTGTACGAAACGTATAACCGAACCGATCTAGTGTTCAGCATGAGGTACTCCTATTGTTGCACCCTTGAAGTCGAATGGCAAGACCTCTAGAATACATAGTGATTATAGATTCAAACTCTGCCTGTAGTTCATTTAGAGTTACTGCCGGTCTCAAGCACGGGCAATGAAGGAGAGTTGGGCATGGGGTCGGCAAACCCATCCCGTAGAAAAACTTTCTAAAAATTTACCAACCAGATTAAATAAATTAAACCACTTAAACTTTTTCCTGAGAGTTGAAAGAAGAATTATGTCGCCTCATGATGAAAGTAGAGATTCTTGGCCAGTCACGAAGCCGATGCCTCTTCTAACTACCAAAGCAACAATTTTATAGGTACATGGAATGTCCGAACAATATGGAAGACCAAGAGGACCAATCAAACAGCTGCAGAAATGAGGAGATACAACTTGACGGTTCTTGAAATCAGCGTATGTGGTGACTATGGATTAACACTGGATTCCCGTTATTTGAAACAAACGTGTATGGCAAGGGAAGCTGAAGATATTCTAAATCGACTTCATGGTTCTAATGTGTTCTCTAAAGTTGAATTGAAAAATGCAAATCTTCAAATCCATTCACATCAATCTTCATTTATTTTGACAACAATTAACACTCCTTTTAGTCTTTCAAAATACAACTTCCCTCCACTTGGTCTAAGTTGTTCTCCAGCCATATTTCAAGAAGTGATAGGTGATGTAGTCGGTGATCTTGAAGGTGTTGAAGTTCATCAAGATGATCCTATTATTCATGGTACTGATAAGGTAGTTCATGACCAAAGAACTATTGCTTTATTTAGTCATGTAGTTGAGAAGAATGTTACGGTGAATCCAAATAAGTGTTTATTTTGTGTATCTAGTTACGAATGTCTTGGATACCTTATTGATGGTTATAGTTTTAGACCAGATATGAAAAATGCACCGTCCCCAAAACATATTACAGAACTGCACTCACTAGTAGGTGCTCTTCAATACTATTCCTATTTTATTACTAATTTTTCTTGTCGTGATAATTTTTATTGAATATTTTGACATCCGATTCATTCACATAAGGTGAGGAACAAGAGTCATGTTTATGAAGTCTAATAAAGTTTCTTCAAAGTGATGCTGTTCTTCGAACTCACTTCACTGGTGTACATTCCACACTTATTATTGATGCATCACCTGTGAGCATTGGTGCAGTTTTGGAGCAGAAAGGTAGACCAATTATCTGTGTTTCACGCAAACTTATTGTTACTGAACAAGGCTATTCACAAACACAGCGAGTAGAATTAGCTGTGTTTTTAGCTGTTAAGCGACTTCATGAATATTTAGTTGGAAAGAAATTCACCATTGTTACTGATCACGAAGCTTTAGAGCTCATTTATCATTCTGGAAAACCGTTAGCACGTTCCTCGTCTGCTGTGGTTCATCAATGTAGTATTGCATTAAATCCCTATACCTATAAGGTTCGGTACAAAAGCGCCAAACAAATTTAATATCCTGCCTACATTTCTCGATAATCATTACAAGAAAAAATGTCATAAGTCTTAATTTTATCGTCTAAAGTGGATTCCATTGCCAGTATCATCTGAGGTTGGGCAGATAATTCATAAAGGTTATTGTGGTCTATTTCTCGGCAAATACTATGCACTTGTAGTTATTGACATTTTTTCCAAATGACCTTAAGTTTTTATCATAATTTCACCAAATTCTGACTTCACAATCCAAGCGTTAAGAAACATATTTAGTCGCGAGGTGGTTTCTATGATATTAGTGCACGATGATGGCTTTCATTTTGCAGTAGACGCAGTCAATACATATTGGATGGTACAGGGTACATACAAATTTTCACTGCTCGTAAGTACCTTTGTGCACATGTTCAGGCAGAAAATTTCGTCACGACATTGAAAACTGCTATTAGTTTCATTGCTACCTCGATATTTGAAGAACTGGAGAGGCGAATTGATAGATTGCTGCTGCGATATCGAAAGGCTAGACATTCCGTAACGAAAGATACTTCATCATAGCTATTAAAAGGAAGAATTCTTCGTTCTAATATGAAGTGTTTAGAGTGTACAGAAGTTATATATTATCTTGGGAATGATCTTCGACTAGCCACAGGGATTGTGGTGAAGAATGTTGAAAAATCTCTGGTTCGAATCCTAGACACAACTAACATGTTGATCAAATACAATTCCAAGAACCGTTTGAGTCTGTTCCACGTTTGATTGTTAATTCCAATACTAATAAGCACATTTCAGATGATATGGAGTCTACATTCAATACACAATCAGAAAGACATATGGCGAACCTTATGAGAAATACAATCGATTACAGATAATCGGATTTGCATTTAAGCTGTGAAGGATGTGGTATTTATATAAACTAATGATTCTTTTGCACCTGATGTGTGTCTGATTTGGAATTCTAAATACAATACTTTCATTTGCGCTCATCTAGTTCCGCTTGTCGTAAATTGCACTTTTTCGAGAATTCCTAGTTAATACAATAATTCGAATGCTTCAAATTATCGTGGAAGCATCCTAATACGTATTTTCATGAGAAGGATATGATTCTCACTGAAAATAATAAAAGCCAATGAATTTTATCTAAATATATAGACACAAATTGTTCACCATATATTTTGTTTCAATAAATGCATCGCTTAACTTTATTCTAGTTAAAATTACACCAAGAAGAAGAAGAAAATGGCCAGTTCAGGAAGCAATAACCTTTTAAATTACAATTAATTTTACTTTTAACTGTTCTTCATGACCTAAATATTTCAATAGATTCCACAGCTAGTTTGACCTTTTGATGCTTAGTTGTTTCGTATACTTTAGCTAGTGCAAAGACATGAACTATTAGATATCAGGCCTTTAAGAATGAAATGAATATCGGGAAACTTTACATGTATGGGTCCTCGAAAACTCAAAAGGTAAAATTATTTTGTTAATCAAAAAGCCATCAACAGAAACTAAACCTAAGACGTATTTAGTCATCAAAATGCCTTGTAGTTGAACTGACGAGGCTGCATAAGAGTGTGGGGAAGTTTACTTACCCCATAACAATGCATTTTGACTTACTTTATTGCGCTCATTTAGTTGGTTATTCCAGTGATCAACAATATCATTTTGGTCGGCTGCACGCAACATATCCCTCACATCCGAGTTATTTTTCTTGAAATGTTCCATCAAAAGGGTTTCAGCCATCTAGATAATATTGTATTTCTAAAATATAGATAACCTTTGCTTTTTCTGAATCACGTTCTTTCTTTAGTGCAGTGGATCGAATTAACATAGCTGACTTGGATTTGGAACATTCACTGTATGCTTTTAATAGATTCTAAACAGCTCAGTTAGGGAATGAACGGCTTTACGCATTCATTTTCTGCATCATTTTCCAGCAGCTGAAGCAGCTTTTTTCTTCTAGCTTGCAAACTTTTCTGTGAATGATCGCTGTTCTTTCTGAAGAAATCCTTTGAACTTATAAAAAGTAAATTCGCAGAGAGTTCAGTTTACCTATCTATTAGGTACTTGTTCGATGACCACTGTTTTTCCTTCTCGGTTCTCACAGTTGAGTTGTTTAAGTAGTCCGAGTACTTTTTCCATTGCGCTAACTTCTCAAATTCAATATCATTCTTCTTTATAACCATATCTTGATATTTCATTCTTTTTGAGAGGTCTAAATTGTCAACTGTACAGAACCGAATATCTCTAATGTAAATAAAGATTTCAATAGCGCACGTAATTGAAGGTTGCAGAATATAGTTTCACTTTCAGTCTAGTAAGGATAGGAGGTTAGGTGGTCTGTAATAATTCTGTCAGGGCATATATCTTAGTTGATCCAACTCTCTTTTGAAAGAGACAGCAGATAGAGTTTCAATTATATGTTATTGTAATGAATTCCACTCGGCAATGATTCAATTAGAAAGTCGATAGTCAGCTGGCAATTAATTTGTTCTGAGTTGATGAACATTTTTAGTGTGTCTTCACAAATTCTCTATACAGGCAGACAGGAGACTGATGCCATATTAGATGCAAATTCATCACTAAGTACTTTGAGAATCGTGACCCCTCTGGCTTTGTTTAGCCAGTCGAACATCACATAGGAACTATGCTATTCCGGGAATCATCTTGGTTGCGGTTCTCTGAACATTTACAACAGCTCGCTGTCTCTGTTTAGGAAGGGAATAGCCAACTGTATACAGTACTCGAGTTTAGGTCGAACGAATACTGTATACAAAGTCAAAACGGTTCAGTATCGACATGACTAAAGGCTCAATGTATTGACCATAGTGTCATAAAACCTTTGGCAGCCACCCCATGTCATTAGTTTTTAAGTCTTGGATAACGATGACTACTAAGTCATTGTGTTTCTGAACAATAGGCAGCTCACTGATATTCACCGTGTATGTATCAGCACCTTGATGACTAGTACGCAAAATTTTCGGTCACTCAGATAATTTCTTCAGGTCATTTTGAGGGTCCAAAATATCACATTTACTTTTTATCTCCATATCTTTGCATCATGAGCATATAACAAAACCCATGATGATAGAGACCTACAAAGATCATATACACATGGAAGGAGCAACGCCGGCCCCAAAACTGTAACCTGGGGCACTCCGCCAGGCACAATTTCTCGGCTAGACAACTACACATTCACCCACACATTTTGTTGACACCCGACTTGAAAGTTGTTTATCCACTGTAATAGATCGTCTCCAATAACGATATTTATTAATTTATATACCAGCCTGTTGTGAGGAACTTTGTCAAAAGCCTTACTAGAGTTAATGTAGGCTACATTTACAGGCAACTTGATATTTAGGAGTGCACCAATTTTCACGGACCAGTAATACGTTAGTGAGACATGAATATCCTGTTCTAAATCCATGATGATGTTCAGAAGACATCCGGTTCTCGTCTAGATACGTAAACAAATCCTTCCAAAACATCTTTTCTAAAACTTCAAAAACCACGCTGGTTAGGCTTGCAGATCGATGGTTCTCAGGTTTGTGTCTCATACCTGTCTCATACCTGGAAAAGTAGATATCCAACAATTGACGCGGAGAAAAGCCCAACGATGGAGAAGGCGGGAAGAATGGATTCAATTGATTCAAATTCATCGAGTGGAATGGCCCGGCCTTTCAGGCGTGGTCATTATCGTGCAGCCTATATCTTTTATTCCTATTAAATATATTGTTCCATCTCCAGCCTGAATGTGTGGTCCATCATATATTAGTGATTGTTACGATGCGATGAGTCAGTGTAGACAATGTTGTGACTTCCAAGTAAGATCTTAAAGATCGATCAGGTACATCATAACGAACCCACATTTTTAGGATTACGTCTATTTTTAGGGCAGCACCAATAACGAAAAAAACCACAATTCTACAACACCTTCAAATTGTTGTTGAGATAGCCTTCGTGCTATTTATAAGGACAGAGATGTCTTTCATCACTGGGTTAAATTTACATTTCTGATCGTCTTTTGCAAATCAAGATCATTATTTTCAGTCCAGCTGAATTAATTTCAGGCAAAGTAATGCCAAAAGTATCGTTTCTTTCACGTATTTTTGCACTTGTGCCTCTGTTGTGTACAGTAGTTTGCTTTCGCTGTGCTTTTGAATGTAGCAGTTTCACTTATTCACGGCCACCACTTTTTCCCCGCGTGTTTTTGTGTCTGGTTTGTTGGAAGAATTTTGTTTGATGGCTGAACAGTGCAACAGAAGCAATCTTCAACACCCCAGTTATTTTAGTGTTTAGTACTATCACAGGCCCACATGGGTTGTTCTAGGTACCGGTAAGAACAATTTATTCGTTCGTCCTGAGTCACATTTTGATCTTATCAGTTGTTCGCTTATTAACCTCGACTGTTTTTACATGAGCGTGTGTGTGTATCGCTTACCCTATTCATCATACGTCTCTAGCCTATTTTTATCCAGCTCTAAATATTAAGTCAAACTTGGTGAAATCAACTTAATTCACTCACCTTGTCTGTCTGAGTAAGCCAGTGCTTGAGAAGAATTCATTCAATTCAACCTGTATTTAACTTCTCACAATCGTTATCTCACTAGCGGTTTTTGCCTGGAAATGTACTGAGTTAAATCGCAGATTTATTTTCCTGTCATTTTCATCCATTCTTTTCATTTGGTGTCAAATTAAACTGCTGATAGCCCTTGGAATATAGCATTCAATGCGATGAATGCAAACGATGGAATCATGACGTTAGCACGAATCTAACTTACTCACGTGGCTCTCAAAATGTTCGGTAAAATTGTACGCATGCAGTTGTGTCAGAAACGCTGTAGGGACACAAAGAGCTTCCTATCCGAAGCCAGTCTAGCATTGAAAGCTTCTAGGAGGCTTATTGGCAAACGTGCAATCCACGCCCTGTTGGTAGAAAAATCCATGTAACGCCCTTCCAAATAAACTCAGAATTCATCCATTTGTACGGACCAAAGGATGAAGAATTTACTTTAAAGAGGTCTGTTGGAAATGGAGACTTAATAAAAAGGGCTTGCTCTGTCTCTCACCCTCTAAATAGCGGAAAGCAGGAAGCGCCTAGAAAGCCTTATCGTAACATCAGGTTTAATTATGCCTGAAAAAGCAGCGACCTGACTACCGAAGTCATCGACAACAATTAAGAATCTTGCAGTGCATATAAGTGACTAAGGTTGCTTTTTCTGAGAAAGCTGATGATTGAGTAGAAGTAAATAAATAAGAGACTACCTTATGTCTTTGGAGGAAAGCAAGTCTTCCAAATAGTACTTGAGAAATTTGGGGCTGATCTACGAAGCCGAATATAATCATCACGGAAATTCGACTGACGCAGTTTGTAAGCAGTGCGGAAGTCGATTGTGAAGTTTCTATATTATTAAGAGCCAACAGAGCTCAGAAACATAGGGAAGGAGGATTAGCTATACTCATCAAAAATACTACCTCCTTTACTGTTATCGATAACGTATCCCTCGGAAGTGGAACAAGAGGATTGCTTGATTATAGCCTATAATCCAAACAACAAAACCTGTTAGTCGTTTTGGTCTATTGCAGTTAAACTGTGAAGTGAATGGGGTTTTGCTAGGTGGTTACAACACTGGATCTTCAAGTGGTTTTAACTTTGAATATTTTAATGGCCATATTGTATACTGGAAGGATTTGATAACTGAGTCATCTAAAACGTGTTGACTCTGTGTTCACATATACTCTGGTGCAACATGTGAAGGGTAACTAGGTACGTATTGGGATCGGAATCATCCTTACTAGATCTCATATTGACCCATACTGAGGATGGTGTCATGGACATTGATTTCGTGTCTTTCAAAAGTAAGAGTGCCCATAAAGTTCTAGTTTCTGATTTCAAAATTGTCGTCAACACTGATGAATCAGCCCAAGCTAGACCACACTTCCGATAAGTAAATATGTAAGTAATCACAAACTAAGCATTCTCAGTGAGTTGTAAAATGTAACCACAATCCTTTTTCAAAAATGCTTGGGAGGTATGGAAATTTTTTCATAGAAGCTAATCAGCTGCACATTCTTCGGACTACACCAAGTGGTCCGAAAAACTCTCCACCGTGGTGGAGTAAACAGGTTCTCTCCCTTCTCCGTAAGAGAAAATGTTATATATAGAGCTTAGATTCCTAATACACCGCATATAACCCGAGCCTCGAACGCTAGGGCCCCACAGTTACAAATCAGAAGACAGAAGAAGATTGGAGAACTGCTTGTTGGGTAAGATTCAAAATGTACAGAAAATCATAGATATTTATAGATATTAGCGTTTATTACATTAAAATCATAATTCAGCCAGTCCGCGAAGAGGTATATTATGCTACTGGCCAATAGTAACAGGTCACGTTGCCATTCTAGAAAGCTTTATTACGCTCTGATCGGATGGAACTCTTCAACCTTTCTTGGGCTTCTGGAGGCTCCATCGTAGTTCTCGGAAGCCGTGCCATACAAAAAGATGTCGGGAAGATTCAGGTCACTACTAACTGATGGAACAGAAACTCAATATCCGCAAACCCGAAATATTCGTATCTCAAAGCTTCGCAAGTCAAGAAGATTGCGTGAAGAAAAGCTTTTTAAAGAGTGCACAGAATACATACATAAACCAAAAGGTTAAGATTAGAGAGATCTCATCATTATTGAGAAACGGTAGTAAATCACTGATGAGAGACGGTTATAGTAAAGTCGACATGTCCTCAAATTACTTATGCACTGTAGGTATCGTATAGATGCCCTCCCATGCTCACTCTGAACACTGTGGTCATTAAAGAAATGGATGTTTTTGATCTTCTCAACGAGCTTGACAATAATAAATATATAAGACCTAATGAAACGCATTCTATACTACCAAATTATTTAGCAAATTTCACCGCAAATCCACTAAGCAGATGCAACCTAAGATAGATTACTAAAAATCTGGAGGAATGCCATAGTAAGTCGAAACAGGTATGTGACACAAACCTGAGAACCACCGATCTGCAAGGCTTTGATGTGGTTGTTCTCAGTAACGGTAAATGAACGACTCTGAGGACACAACGAAAATAAAGTAAAAACCCACCACCTGCAACAACTCGGTTGATAAGTGTCTGGTAGACCCCTGTTCCACGTCGCGAAATACATTTCCAAGGTCCGAAAGTGAAACGGAGCTCCCCTA